AATTATAATGAATCCCTTAGATATGCTTTAATTCATGGATTTTTTCGTATGTATGATTAGTTAACAACAAGTAACCATTAAACACTTAGACACTTAGACTTAGACAATTAAGGAATCTAATAATTCACGAACAAATTGGCAGATTATAGGTTAACAAATTATAGGCTAATTGTATGCTGGCTATTCACACAAACTTCCATTCTTAATGGACTACTTGGAATATTCGTTCAATGTAGCTAGCCAGCGAAGCGAGCTTAACTGTAAATGGTGTGGATTTATGGAAAAGAGAATAGAGATATGGGAAAAATTGGAGTTCTTTCATTTTTGCAAGGTGCACTAATAAACAGTGAAAGCTGCTGTGATATAATAGAAACCATTGCCTTATCATATTTATAACAATTATATGAAGCACGGATTCAAGTTTACTCAAATTTTGAACAAAGCAATTCCAAGTCTGAAAATCTATTGTCAAGCAATTGAAGGAATTTAATATACTTCTTGAAAGCTTTTTTCATCTTTTACCATTGCTGGTTAGGCTTGCTGCGCTGGCTACAAGAGTAATACATCTCCAAGCTGCCCGGTTCGGCGTCATCGCTAGTAGTAATAGAAGCCATTCCTTTTTCCATCATTTAAGTCCATATATCACTGGTCCCTCTATACGTTCAAAATCTTTCCTGACTGTATCAATCCAGGTCTTGATTGGCTATATTCTGACTCTACTTCTTGAAAACCAAGAAAAAAAAGCTCTAGAAAATTTAAAATTTTTCTTTAGGGATTTTAAGAAATTTATTTGCAATATTATCCTCAAAGTCTTATACCAGTATTATTAAACGATGTCGCTTCTGCTGTTAACGATTTTCTTGTAATAATAATCTTTGTTTTATTTTTTATGAGGCTTGTAATTTTTTGGTAATCTATTGTGCAATAATTCTTTTCGATATATTGATAAATGGTTAATTTGCTACCTCTTTACAATTGGCTACGAAGATAAGATATTGAGGATTTTCGCTTTAAAATCACTTGAGGGTAGAAGCGCAGGTGGCCCCGAGGGAAAAGCCGAATAGTCGTACTTGAAATAATATTTCAGAGGCTAAAAATGCAGGTGGCTTTGAGGTAAAAACCAAACAGTGTCGCTTGAATTACTATATCCCATTTGGTTAAAATAAGTAAGATCAAAATAAATGTTTTTCCATCAAATAAATTTAGTAATGATTTTTTAAAGAATGGTGCGAATGGTGATTGGTGCAAATTTGATTTTGGAGAGGTCGACGAATTTCTTATATTTCATTGTGCATTTTCAACGGTTTTAAATACCGTAGTCTTATTGTTTCCTATTTTATACACATGACTGATATTTTCAAATTTTTATCACATTTTTATCTTTTATATCGATATATTCTGCAGATTTTAATTATAACACAATAATTAACTGAATAAATAAATGGCTCAATTACTATGAAACAGGTTGAGAACCATATAGAAGAGGAACCAATGATCTATTGCAACTCACACTGGGAATCCACCTTTTTTTTAAGGATTTCTGATAAAACTTTGTCTAATAATTCACGAAGAAATTGGCAGATATTATAGGCTAACAATTATATGAAGCATGGACTTAATCAAGTTTACTCAAATTTTGAACAAAGCAATTCTAAGTCTGGAAATCTATTGTCAAGCAATTGAAGGCATTTAGCACTTCTTGAAAGCTTTCTTCTTCTTCGAATAGCTCTTATCATTGCTGGTTAGACTGGCTGCGCTGGCTAAAAAAGTAATACATCTCCAATCTGCCCGGTTAGGTGCCATCGTTAGTAGTAATAGAAGCCATTCCTTTTTCCATCGTTTAAGTCCATATATAACTGGTCCCTCTATATGTTCAAAATTTTTCCTGATATGAAATAAAGTGATAAGTGATATAAAGTCATTAAAATTTGGGTTGCGATTGAATACACACATTGTTTATTGTTTAGGCTCTTTATAACTTTCGTCGCAAAAGCGCTATAAGGTTGTTCAATCTGGAAAGTTTTTTTTTGGATGGAATTATTTCTATTTATCAAATGATTCTTCAAAGTGCGAAAATAGGTATTTTTTCAATCCTAAAGTAACGTAATTTTTACTTTTCCACTAAAATTAACGGTATTTTTAACGATCTTTTTTTTAAAATCAGATGAATGAAATATTTTTATGGAAAATCCATTATAAATGAATTGATGAATAGTGATAACATTGATAAGCCGCATGGAACTTCTTCAAACGCTGTAATAATGAGAAAATATAGTGATTTCCAATTTCTAATTGTTTTTTTTTTTCTTTGAGAATCAATTCGCGCTTAACAAAGGTGGCAATCTGCCATCAAAAAATTCATGTGGCTAATCATCCAATGGTACTTTGGTGAACTAACAGAAATTTCTTATTGTACTAACAGCCCCGCTGAATCGCTTACCTTACTCAATTTAATTAGACCAAATTTGCATCTTTTATTCGAAATTGTATAATTTGAAATCTATTAAAAACCGAAAATAAATTTTGATGAGAAAGATTTCTCCGGGATTATCTGAAACAAACTACACCGATGATTCTGACTGATTCCACGATGATTCCATAAGCACCATAGGTTCCATTCTTGCCTCTTTATGGAACTTGTTATAAGGCTGTTATAAGGGCCATGCTAGATACACATCAGCATTTGTCTCTCTCATATTCTCCAGTGAAAAACGGTTTACCTTAACAGTTAATCAGTCTAAACTCTCTTGAATATTATAATACAAGATGGACAAACAAGTTCATAAAACTATATATTATTGAATTACTGGAACGCTAAGAGTTTAGGAAAAAACGATCCTTTTTTTTTAAAAAAAAGAAATTTTATCAATGGAAAACTAATGGACACTTTTTTGGTTGAAACTAAGGGTCCTGGAAACTAATAATTTCCTGAACGTATCTTCCGGATTTTAATATATTTTGCTGGAATTATCTTCGCTTAATCTTCATCTTCATCTTCGACAATTTTTTTCATCGTTAAAATAATTTAGTGATAATTTATATCGAAGTTTCAAAAACCTATTGATAATCTATAGAGCATATTTCATCGTTTATAAGTCAAAGAAGAATTTTTTCAAAAATTAAATATAGTGGAAAAAAAAGATCATTAAAAGAATTTCAGAAACTATCAACGTGACTTCTCTAAGTTGCAATTTCTAATGGCGCTTATCATATCTGATTAGGTTCATTCCACTGGCTAATCGGATAAGATAAATTTTGCGAGAAAGTTATTTGGCAAAAGAAATAAGTCACCGGAACAAATAAGTTTATTCCTGCAAGATATAAGAATAACAATTCATTGAGCTATTGTACCTCTAAATTACAATATTAATGCGTTTATATGAAGGACATTCATTTGGTTTTACATTCAAGATGATCGCCCCATTCCTTATAAAATTTTAGAAAAAATTTTTTTGAAATTCTAATGCAAATCGGTGAAAGTAAAACGAAGTAAATGGAATGCATATTGTTTATTTCATTTTGCTATACAAAGTTATTTTTATTTTTTTCTCATTTTATAGCATAAAAGAAAAAAATAAATTGAGAAAATTTCTTTCGGACCATTACTTTTGATTAAAATAATGATATTACTCTCTTCTTTTTAAACTAATACTTCAATGCGTCAAATCTTTTAAAATCAATTGTAGTGAAAAATTATTAATTTCATCCAAATAATGTTCGATGGTCCTGAAAAATACATAAATTAGCATCAATAAAAAATTCTTTTAAGTGAAAATGCTGGAAATTAATGAAGAACAAATTGCAAATGTTTGTAAAGCTAAATGAAAACGAAAATTTACTTAAGAACTTAACAAATTCTTAATCAAAGAATATTCTTTGAAAACACTTTTTGTGAGGAATAAGAGATTATAGAAAATTTGCTTATGTAATACGATAAGATATGACTTACACATTTAATGTTATTATTCGAAATATTTCATCAGTTTAATTTAAAGGAGAAATTAATTTTCAACAGTCAAAATAATGATTATATAATTAGATCAAAATTGATGAAATTTTCATCAATAGACAAAGAAAAATTTCAAAAAATTTCCAACCAATATTGAAGGATACAAAATGAAACCGTTTGGAATCCTCAAGCGTTCTCTTGCTTTAATTCATAAATTTCTCATCAGTCGTTTTTTCAAGGATTGCAATTTCAAACAATTCTAAGCAGTTTTCCATTGTTAAAAATTTCTAAAAAAACTAAGTTCAAAAAATGGTATTTAAAGAGGCTTTAGAATTTTTGACATAAAAATTTTCTTTCAGTAACTTCCAACCAAAACATCATCATTTTCAGTTCGAAAATTCGAAGACCAATTTTTTGATAAATCGGCGGAAACAAAAATTTATTCGCTTAATTTCTTCAGTCAACATTAAAAAGCGCTGAATAAAAAATATAAATCATGACTTAAAATTTCGATTTCAAAGATAAAAAATAAAAATACAGATAATACGCACCGCAGGACGCTTTGAATATGCAGAGAGTGCAATTTGCCGTAATGATCGACCACTTAAAGGAATTTGCAAATCGGTTATTTTTCTGGAAATTTTTGTTTCAAAGAAATATTTGAAAATGGAAGAAAACTTCTCACTTTCAACACATCCTGCATTGAGAAGAAATTAAAAACAAAAAATAGTGATAATAAATGGAAATACATAGTTATAATAATAATAAATAATCTTTGCAATAAGATAAATTCTCATAAGATGGATGAAAGTATAGCTTATAATTCTAACTGAACCAAAAAAAAATTAACCTTGATATCCTCAAAAGCATCTGACTATATGGTTTGCGCAGTGGAATCCTTGCCGACTGATCTATTAGATCACCAGATTCAACTATGCCGATCTTAAATAGAGTGCAAATAATAAAATGATTTTATGAATGATTTCTAATTTTTTCTGAAGTTCTTCAATGCACAAAAATTTTACAGAAAACTTAGACAAAAATGAGAATTTTATATAAGTATTTTCCATTGAAAAATTTTGATACATAAGGAAATAAAACTGCAAATAAAATAAAATAAATAAAATTTTACTCTTTGCATTTCAAAAATACAGGAAGCAAGAATTGAATAAATGGCTTCAGCTGTCGGTTGGCCTATAAAACGGCAAATATCCGTGCGATCGATAAAAGCCATGTCTAAACTCTGAAATATGACAAAGAATTTCTGAAAAAATATCATATCACACATCGGTAGATTATGATGAGATTAAACACGATAGAAATTCTTTATCAGAAACATCCACTTATTGAATCTATTAATCAATTTTTCTCACTATAATAAAACAGTTTGATATGTAAAGTTCATTAAAAAGCATGATAATTACTGGACAAAGATGAGGAACTCAGTAGAAATTCAAAAATATTTAATAAGCAAAACAGCAAAGGTACTTGACGGATGTTTGAAGTTGTGAAGATGAAAACATTTCTGAACATACGTATTCGATCAATTTGTGTGAGTACTGCATTTACAACTCGAAGTGAATCAGTTGGCTCGTTTTTATTTAAAATTTCGGATCGAGACATGCATAAACTTTCAATCTGAAAACAGACAAATTAGTTTTGATCATTTCCATAATAGCAGTTTACAGCCCTCTTTCCGTCATAATTGTACAGAAAATTGTAATTTCCATATCTCACGTAATTCAAGTAGTCCACTTATCATCAAATAGTCCTGGTTCTTGAACATTTGATGCATTGTTAGCACTGCATGAACCTAGTTATGCGACTGTCATATCTGAGATAAGGCAGATAAGTTTCTTTGCTCAAAGGAAAGATAAATATTGGCTATGACTCGAACTCTTGCCTTAGCTTCATGCGTCTTAATCACTATTTTGTCATTTATGTATATTATATGTAAGTATAGAATAATGAAATAAGTATAATGGTAACTATGGAAGAAATAAAATGAATCACCAATCCATAATAATTCATAAAATAAATTAGAAAAAATTCTTTTCTATCTTCTTTAAGAAGAACAAATTAGCGAAATAAAAACTCACCTCATCTATGAGCACAATTACGAGAAATCTATCAATCTCTGCCATTTCTTCGATTTGATCAAACATTTTCTGCACTAACTTGCCACTCTAAAATTTTTTTATCGGAAAAATCAGATTTTAAGAAGTACTATGAAAACGAAATAAGACAATAAAAGTTAGAAAAGTCATAAAAATAAAGGCAAAATCAAAATGCACCTCAGAAAACCACTTGGAGAAGAGACTATGACTATTGATCTCAACAAATAAACATTTCTTATATCGATCATTAAGATGAATTGATAATTTTTGAGCTAAAGCTTTACAAAGAGATGTTTTACCCATTCCAGGAGGCCCTGAAACTTTCAAATCATTACTGGAATAAAAATTAAAATTACTATGTTAAAAATTATCAAATATTATGCATCAAATAAGATTAAAACTAACCGTAAAGTAATAAAAGTTTATTGATTCGAAGAATTGAAAAATTTGCATTCAAATCTGACAATCGTAGAATGGCGTAAACATAAGACAATAACTGCAATACCAGTGAAAAAATTAATATTCCCACTAAAAATAAAGAATTAATTTTATTCCAAAAGTGCCCATTTAGGTTCGCTTTGTCCATTTACTGGAAAAAATAAATTTTATCGAGAAAATTTCATACGCGTACTTGGTAATAAACAATTATGTAAAATAAGATTACAGGTTAAATTCTTCAATTTTTATATAAATGTAGAGTTCACTACTGCTTCAACTCCCACTGATTGGAATCTTCTAAAAAATCGCTGCTGCTATTCATGTTCATTATTCAATCTGGTGTGTTGGTCAATAATTATTATACAATTATTCATTTTATCTGTATGCCTATGAAGTTTTCATTATTTCTCATATGTTATGAGATAGGTTTCTACCAAAAAAATATGGCTCCAACTTAGTTATTAAAGCTATCAAACCAAAAATAGCTAATAAGTTATAAGTCATATGAATTTTTTTTTAAGAGTCCTCACCAGTACTGGTTAAACTCTCTTCACTGGCTTATCACATTGAATAATGTGCCAGGGAATCTTTTGGCGATAGAAATACAGGTGAGTCGCCAGCATCATACGCATATAAATTTACAGTTTCTTTATTAGATGGCTCGAAAATATGAAAAATTACCCATAAAATATCCATAAAATTAGTATTTTTGGTGGAAACTTATCTCATAACAAATGAAAATGAATGAACTTGATAAGAAATAAGACAAACTTCATTTTTAATTTCATCATTAAACACCAGACTTTCCCATAAATCATCGAATTCTTTACAAGGTAACTCCCACTGAGTTGACGCAACAACAACATCATGCACAGACGGATCAATTTGTATTTTTAGCTGTTCTGGAGAATAACTATTCAAACGATAGATATGTATATTAATTTCCGACAATAATCCATCGTCAATTATTATTAGTGAATCTAAAATAACACCATGAGAATGAAAAAAATTATAATATTCATTTACAAGTGGGAATGAAAATTAAGGTTTGAAAAAAATCCCCAATTCCTCTTTCTATCAAATAACTTTGGCCCTTATGAAAAACATCCAGCTAATTTATATGAAATATTCTATTAGCAAAAGATATATTAAACGTAACTTCGCCCAACTCATGGTTGTGATTCATAAGAGCAAATATTGTGCAATCATAAAGTGTAATAAATAAGAATAAAATTGATTAAAAAAGATAAATCTTATTAGCCAAAAATATTAATAAAGGAAATTTATTTTTTAAAATAAAAAGAAAATAAATTTTTGCACAAAATAAAGAATTCTGAATCATTTCAATGGCACAACTGAATAAAATCAAGAAAAATTCTTCCCATTCAAGCTACTAATTTAATAAATCGTCGATTAAAAAGAGAAAAATTAAAAATAAAAATAAGAATTTGAAATAACCATTGGCAATATTATAACAACCAACGGTAATACTCTCAACCAAATCTGAATATTCATCAAGAATTAATTGAGAATTTCTTCGCCAATTATAAAAAGTTCTTACTGCGAGAAGAATAGATGAAATATTTGGTAAAACCTTTTCCGAATCAAGCGTAGTACTAAAATTAATAATATTATCGATAATATTTAATATTTCCAAATGATTAATTATTATCAGTTTTTAAAGAATGATAATTAATAAAAAATAATATTCACTATAATTCTTTTAGGATAATGAAAATTGAAAATCAAAAATTAAACTAAAAAACCCGAGACGAGCAAAATGAAAGGTTTTAAAATAAGTTGAAATAATTGTGATTATAAAACGAATATTAAGGTTATCAAAGCGTCTAATAAGTGAAAAAGAAATTAATAAAGCGAAATCATTAATATAGAACAAAATGCGAAATTTGAAGAAACACTTGAATATCAAAAAAAAATCGCGAAACTTGTTTTTTCTTAAAACCTAAAAACGTATACAACCTATCCTTTAAAACCCAAAACCCAACTGATCATGATCATGATAACATCCTCAGCAGAAATTTTTCTTCTTTTTATGCCTTAAAAATCACCCCATCGCTCAGTTCCAATCTGTTTTCTACCAACATGATTTTCACCTTCCGCTTTGATAACGAAAGATAATCAGCTGATATAAAGTGAATGTGAATTTCGAAGGATCAGGGTTTAATGAACAATGTTACACACATCAAAGCAATACTACTCGAAAATTGTTTTCCAAATTGCATATTGCTACAGCTTCGAAGTGAATTATTTCATTGCTTTACCACATTTTACTATATAATAGCAAACTGCATGTAAATATTGAAAATACCAAACGCAAAAGTCCTCGCTTCCGGGTGGGCTTGAACCACCAACCTTTCGGTTAACAGCCGAACGCGCTAACCGATTGCGCCACGGAAGCCTGTCTCGGCATTAATAAATACTCTTTATCACATTCATAATCTAAAGAAAAACTGCACTTGTTTAATTCCTTCTTTAGATGAAAGGAAGTTTGACGGGTTCTATCGAATTTCGTCAGAAAATATCACGGGATACAGTAAAAAATGGTGTACCTAGCATCATAGTGTCGAATTATTTTTTTATAGGTTTAGTCCCAGCAAGGGACAGCAAATCGGATCTATTCAACATGAACCAAAAGATACCATACCACTCGGTTATCTTTGCTATTACCTATCTGCTATTCATACGATTTGTATAACTTCATAGAATGAAACATCTTAAAGCTTCTATCCGAGATCTATGTTAGCAAATACTTTTCAAGGTTATATAAAATCGCCTCCTTCTCTCGCCTCTAATTTTTTACCTATAATTCTCTAATCATATCCACTTTATTGTCGAGATTTACTCTATTCGTCTAGCATTTATGGTTATATAAATCATATCATATCATATCATATCATATCATATCATATCATTTCTTACCAGTGTATTTTTCCACTAATAAATTTTGATTAAAAAATAAAAATTTAAATAATAAGTAATATTATTATATTATGAATATTATAAATGCAAATAATTTCGAGCGCATAGGTAATACACCGAGATAAGGACTAAGGCGATGGAAAAATGGCCATTAGAGAACCTCATACATATATAAGGACTGACATCGGAAAGGAAGGCTTGGAAAAGTCTTATAGTCTTATAATCTAGCAACACCAGCCAGTAATAATGCGAACTGTTAGAAGAAATAAACAACAATGTGATGGACTATAAATAAATCAGATTAGAAAGGAGAGAATCTTCAATTCAGGAGAGGTGGTATAGCAATATAGTTATTTCAAATTGTGAAATACATTGCATATAAAACGACTCTGTTTGGTGATTTTGTTTATTTATTTTTCTTAATAATTTTTATTTTTCATATTATTTTTATTTGACTATTTATTAGTCATTTCTGTTCTTTGTATTAATAAAAAATTTAATAAAAATGCAATTTTTAATTTTTTTACTTTTTTCATTTTTCTTAAATTTTAGTGATTATTTTTGCCCTTAGATTTTCAAAAATTTCCTCAGTTAATTTTTTAAAATTTATTTGACTTAACAAACTTTTTTCTGACAATTTATTTTATTATTATCTTAATAATAATAATAAAATAATAAATAAATGTAATAATGTGTAATAAAAATATTAATAATAAAATTAAAAACCTTAGCTTGCTTGGGTTCGTCAACAGATCATTGGATCTCAACCTAATTAATCACATCCTCCTCAAGTCCATTTCCACCAATCCCACCTTTGTATTAAACTTCGCCGATTCATTTTCCCTAGTCTAATTCCTCCACAACAACACCTTTACTCCTACCAAAGCGTAGAGATGGAAAATATTTAGAAAACAGAAAAATATAAATTTATAGATAGAAATCGGGAAAAAAAAAGAATGAAAAAAACTCACGTCCTTGCTTTCATCTCCACTTCAACATGTAAATCGATACTTTGAGTCGTAGATTTCTGAGCTATTTTTAATGAACACAGATCCAATAGTGATGTTGCATCACCACTACCACCACAATTGTTCTCGATCATTTTGATAAATAATTAATGATAATGATTCTGCTTAACCTCTGATAAAATAAAGATGAATTACAAATTTTAAATTTTAGAAAGAGCTGAATTCACCATAGATAAAGAAAATAAATGAAATTAGCCTATACGAAATATATTTAAATTTCTTCTGAATTCAGTATAGGTAGAGAACCTGAATGGTACTGACAATTGTGCCAATCCCCCCCTCCCCACATGACAAAAAAATCTCCTCACTAAACCATATAATGAAACCAGTTACACCATAAGCAAGACGAGGATTCACGAATGATTGAAGAATGGTGGAAAGGTTTGAAATTTTTTCGCGCGTCTTTTTAAATTTAAAAAGTCGCATATAACAGCACAAAACTCCCAGCGATCTATCATGACTTCATGATTTAGGTCGTGAAAGTAGCTCATGAACTAAGAACACCTCTTTTATGTCTGATTGATTAAAAAACATGACTAAATCATTTTTTTCGTTCATTAGCATTCTTTTTGTTTCATTAAAACGAAGTGATGTTAAGTTATCAATTATCAATTATCAATGAGTGCAGCTGAAAGATTTCCTTTCACTGTCTGTGAACGATTGAATTTTTAAGTGACTTCTCTAGTATCCTTTCGATTAAAGATTACCACACTTATCGCTTCTCGGCCTATTGGCTAAGATCAAAGTGTAGTATCTGTTCTTATCAGCTTAATCTCTGATATGTGGTCTATTGATCACTTTGAGATTATTCTATTTTTGGGACCATAGATGGTTTGATGGGGCTTGCTCCGCACCATCTGCGGGTTGGCCCGGTATTGCACTTGCATCCGGGAGCGGCCCTACCACCCCAGGGTGGTCAAATGATTCGAAATATTATTAAACTGGCATGTTCCAGTGCCGTCGAGAACCATCAAATTATCTCTGTTGTCATGTGAGCCCAAGCACCCAAGTAGAAGTCGATCAGCCAGGCAATAAATAATTCGTAAGCGCCATAAAGTTAATTCTAGCTAATTTTAAAAATAGGCTAATGAAGTAAGCGACTAGCTTGTGGCCCAAAGTTCCATCTTCCATGATATAGAATGTAGAACAACTCGTTTTGTGCCATAAAATTGTATGAAGAAAATATTTGAAACTGTCAACTATCAACTAAAATTAATTGTCAACTATAAAATAAAATTGAAAGGAAAAGAACAAAATATAATAAAATGAATTATTATTTTAATTAAAATTAAATTATTTTCAAATTTTTTACTTTGAAATTTTTTACTTTTAATAGTTTTTTTTTTAGTAAATTATTCAAATAAAAATAAAATCTTAATTTTTAAATTATTAAATGAAAAATAAAAGAATAATTCGATATCGTTGTCAAGGTTACTTACTTGTTTAACGTATTTTGTAATTAATCTCGTAAGATTAATTCTCATTTTAATTTGATAATTTTTTGGTTAAAAAAAGTGCTATTTGATAATATTATTGAAATAATATTAAAAAAATGATAATAAAAAATAAATAAAAATAAATAATAATAAAGATAATAATAAAAAATAATAATAAAATAAAATAATAAACTATTGTGATAACGATAATTTTTAACCATTTGTATTTTTTATTTTCTCCTATTTTTGTTTCTATTCACGTAGATAATTAATAAAATTATCTTACAAGTTAATTTATACCGAACTCAGAATTAGAGAGAGGGTGGGGGGGGGAGGAATTCCCAGACGCATTTCTTCAAAATGACAGGTTCGCTTCTGTTAGAGTCGTTCTTGCGACACACGTTTGTTACGTTATGTGTTTATTTATTTTTTATGGAATACGGCTGTGATGGGAGCTTCTCCTTCTTCTTCTAACAGCTCTTATCTTTACTGGCTAGGCTGGCTCCGCTGGCTACAAGAGTAATACATCTCCAAGCTGCTCGGTCCAACGCCATCGCTAGCATAAATAGAAGTCATTGCTTTTTCCATCGTCTAAATCCATATTTTGCTGGTCCACCTGTACGTTCAAAATCTTTTCTCACTGTGTCAGTCCAGGTCTTGCTTGGCGCACCTCGCTTTGGCGCCAACCATCACATGGTTTAGCAAGTAACGAAATATACGTCAACTCTTGTGACTTACGACGGAAAACATGCCCTAACCAGCGATGGCGACACTCTTGCGATTTTATCCGTTCGACGAATCCGTAAAATGTACCATAGACATGAGTGGTCAAAGTTTTTAATATTTTCTGCTCTCATTGGCCATGTTTCGCAGCCATACAGTAAGACTGAATCGCGGCTATATAGACTTTCGTTTCGTAATGGGAACAAATAGATTGGAAATGAGGTCCGATGTTAAGGATCCAACCTATGCGTTGATCCTTTGGCTAAGGAATGAATCTTACATAAATGGAATCAGCCAAATCAGATTTTTTGATGATTAATTAACTGTTTATATGCCAAAATTATTTATTATTTTATATAAATTTTATTTTTTTCATAGAAATTAATGTCGAAATATACGGCAATATTAACTTTACAAATCTTATTACTACTCATCGATATATGTTTTAATACTGCAACTGCAATACTTAAAAGTAATAATGTTGCATTACTATTTCTTTTCATGTAAGTTCTCGGTGATGATTTTTATTTTTTTCTTGTTTTTTATTTTATTTTTATTTATTTATTTACATTATATATATATATATTTATATTATTATTTATCCATATTTATTTATCTTTATTATTATTATCGATAAAATTTTAATTTTCTTAAATTATTTTTAATAATTTCATAATATTAATAATAATAATATAATAATAATATAATAATTAATAAATTAAATTAATTAAATTAAATTAAATTAATAAATAATTTTAGTTTGCAAGATGCAACAATCGCGATGAGTGTTATTGTTATGGTTATTGCGTTCTCATCAACATTTATTTTTCAAGTACCATTTTTCTCATCTAAGAAAATTTTATTTTTTAGAAAAATAAAAAAATAAAAATTTGATTTGATTTATGATTTTAGGCTGGTCTCATCAGTTTTTTACTAATTAAATTTATTTCAACAATAATCGTATCATGCATTTATCTTCTTTTAACGATAATTTTACACTATTTAAGTCTGGTAAGTTTAAGTTAATTTTTTATAACTATATTATAATCAAATACATATTTCTCCATGCTAGTTTTTTGCTGCTATTCTTTTCGCCGAAGTGACAATTTGATAATTCGCCGAAATCATTCGGAATTAACAATTCCATAATTATCCAGATTCGACCATTCTTAGACGAAGAAGACGGTAGATTAGACTTCGCTAGACCAAGAAAAAAGCTATTATATCCAATGGCAATAAAGTGCAAAAGCAAAAGCAAAATATGCCATAGAGTTATCTGAAACCAGTATTTATAAAAAAGTTTTCCGTATGCATCCTTAAAAATCTGCAGAGATGAATCTAAAAGTTAAATTTAAACTGTAAATGATTTGCTGTAATAATAATAATAGTAAATAATAAATAATAATAACAATAATAAAAAAATAAGTAATAATAATAATAGCAATGAAAATAATTAATAAAATTAATTAATTAATAATAAAATAATTATAATAACGATGATGATAATAATAATTATAATTAATAACAATAATAATTAACAATAATAATTAATAATAATACTAGTAATAATGATGTAATAATGCTAATGACAATTAATAATAATAAAACAGATAAGGAATAATAATAATTTCAAGAGTATATATGTATTTTCAAAATATAAAATATTTTTTAGAACTATCGTTGGTCAAACATTGAAAAACAAAATTTTTCGTATACTATTACTATTTTGTATTTTTTTCAACGATTCGGTTTGTATTTTTATAAATTTTAAATTTCATCCAACGTTTTCTTTGACAGCCATTTTTTACTATTTTTGATTAAGTTAATTTCGATGGTTGCTGTTAGTATAATAATTTGAATTTGAATTGCCATAGAGTTATTTGACGATAGAAATATGGGTAAGTCACCGGCCGGGCAATAATAATAATAGTAATACCCCATGCTCGACCATTTTCTCCTCTTCGCTTTTTGCAATTTTACCTTTCATTCGTGGTTCACCATTGTCCGCTGGAGTCGCAACATATGATAATATCTTTTTTTTTTTTATTATAAAAACCTTTTAGAATAACCTAAGGGAATGAATTTTAGTGGCTGTATTATATTATTTCTTTTATAAGCGAACTGCTTTACTTTTATCGAATCCTGAATATCAAAGCGATTCAGAATGGATAAGGGAACGAATCCGGCAAAATAATTGAAAATCGACCAATTAAAAATTTTTTTTTTTTTAAATTAAATCGGTTGAATTTTTTATAATGTTTATTTTTTCATTTTCTATTAAAATTTTAAAAATTTTTCCATTCAAATAATAGATAATAATAATATTTTTATTTGATTTTAATATGTATAAACATATATAAAATAAAAAATATTACAAAAAAATTTCCATTAAGGTCAAAGGTCTAATAAATGATAGAAAAAACATTGTCCCGAAAATAAATCTGTTCAAATACGAAATACATTATTTAAATCCCATAATCAAATTCAACCTGAATTTTCATTTGTATTATTATCCGTATATTATATTATATAAATATATTCTATTTGAATATTTCGTATTTGCAAAACTTTTGGTGATGAATAGCGTTAAGCTGGAGAATTAGAGGAGAGTCACTAATGGATCATAGCAAAAGATTATAGTGGTGTATATTGGTGTTAATTGGTGTGAGGATATTTGGTATAGTTATGTAATGAGTGGAACGTTACTGTGAGATTTATTTATGAGTTTCAGAAAGTATTTTAGCAGGCTATAACGAAATTACTATGCAATGGCGATGTCGAATAATGGAATTAATAGTTTGAAAATATATAACTTTAATTAGCTTTTATTAGTAATTATGCGCTCTATTTCATGAATAAATTATGAATAAATTTGCTATTATCTATTTTTGCTATAATCTTTGCTATAATCTATTTTTCATTGTATGAATGGTACTACTACCGTCAATCATTTATATATAAATTAAATATTTCATTTATAAGAAGAGACAATTTTACATTAATTTTATGAAGAAAAAAATATTAATTCTAAATATTATTTATTAATATTGAAAATATTAATATTAATTAAAATATTATAATATTAATATTTATTCTGTCTTGCAAATAAATCTTTCAAAAGTGGAACTTAAAAGTTTATATTTTTTTTTTTTTTAAATAGTTATCTCTCAAAATGAACTGGAAAATTTCCTTTAAAAATAAATGAAAATAATTATTATTCAAAATAATTTCGTAAACCAAGCAAATATTCCAAAATTTTCATATAACGAATCGCACCACGAAGAATTTCCTGTTTGCTCATTTTCCTATTAACTGGATAACACGGAATGATTTCTCGTAGCTGAAATATCGCCTATTAAATGCGAAAAATCGAATTGTTTAATTTTAGCATAATTAAGAAATTTTTCTAGCAAAAAAGCGATTATTTTCAACAAAATTTATAAATTTTTTATAATTTTAAAAAATTTATAAATGAAATAAAAATTTAGAAATAAAATAAATTTTTTTAAAAAAAATTTTTATAAATTAAAATAAAGCCTAAAGTCTTTTATCATTATTTTAAATTTTATATTGTACAATAAATTTCGTGTTTTTTTTCTAAGAATTTTGCACCATTTCCGATTAAATCGCACTGAATCAGACAAATTTGATGTTAGAAGCAAAAATTGGGTTGTCAGCATCACCTCAGATTTTAGAAAGAAAAATTTATTCCTTCCGAGAATAGAAGCCCAGCACCAACATTCTGAAATGAGAGGAACCCACTGAGCCACTTCATTTTCAATAAATTCCACTGATATAAATTTTAAATTTTTATATCAATGAAATTAAATTTTTTTTCAAAAAACTAAATTTCAATAACTTAAAGAAAAAAATAATATTTAATATTCGAAAATTTTTAATGAAAAGAAATTATTCGGTTGGCTTTCAGTTTTTTTTGGCGCAATTAAACCTCGTTAAAGATTTTTTAGCGAGGTTTTATCTTTATAATCAGTGGAACCAGCAAAACCAGAAATAGTGAGAGTTGTAAGGAGAAAAAAGATCTATAATAAAAGATTTTAATTATTTTAGATTTCTCCATTTCTCCATATTTTAGTAAGAAGTTGACTTTATTCTAAAAAAAAAAAAAAACTGCAGCAGACTAGCGCATATAATATGAAAAACTAAGAAATATAAAATTACTGACCTGATTGAAGGCTTCATTAATATCTTGTTGTCGTCCTCGGTCACGACCACTTAACATTGGTTTAAATCGAATCTTATAAAACTTCAGTAGAATATTTCAACGATAATCCAGATTGATGCCAAAAAGATAATGAAACAATGTTTTATCATGCTTTTTAATCTTCAGAATAAAATTGCTTTCTTATCGCAAAATACTGACTGTCTCTAATTGAAATTAACTTCCTGATTTCTCAGCATATTTTCTTGTATCGCAAAAAAGCAAAATCTTTATCTTAATTCATTTATAGAAATTTTCATGAAAAATGGAATTTTCTTATCGATTTATATATTTGATTCTGAATTCTATTATTTAAGTTATTCGAATTTCTTACTTTCACAATTGAACATTAAGAAATAAAAATAAAATGCAATTAGAATCAACGAAAAATAAACCAAATTTAACTAATTTCTAAACCTAGAAATTAATTGAAGAAATCTAATTAGTTTTAAAGCTTTTTAGTTCGAAATATCAAATTTGACGTGCAGAAAAAGCTATTTTGCAAAGCATTTTATCAACAAATATTAATTGAAAAGCCATAAATTATCTTTAAATATAAAATTTAACGAAAGGATTTCGATGAGAAAATAGAATAAAAAATCAAGAAAATTTTCGATGACAATTCGAAACCATTGAAGAGGAGAGTACAAAATGTTCAGTCGATATACTAAATTATTTTCAAGAAAATACCCGTTAACTCAACATGAAATCAGCCAACAATCAGCGAACACGATAACTTTAAATCATACAACCATTCGATAAGTTATATATCGACCGGCAGTTTCTGAAGGCCTTATAATTTTTACAACTTGACCACGCCGTAATCCAAAATAACGTGCCACAGGATCGTTTTGTTGAATTCTTGGTAGCTGGGTATCCTTCAGTTTGCTGTAAAAGAACATATAGTTTTTTAAAAGAACATAAAGAACATATATTGAAAGTTTTTTTAAAGAGCCCTCACCATTAATAGTTAGACTCGCTCCCTGGCTTGTCGCACTAAATATACCAGGGGGCTCTTTGGTGATAGAAGTACGACTGAATCACAATATTGAACGGATAAATGCTAATTAATTTTTTAGAAATTTCTATCAATATAAAGAAAGGATGTAAAGAATGAAACAATTCTATTAAAGCTCTTGATTAATATGATTAAAAAGAATAAAACAAACTATCTAGCCAGTAATTCTGCTTTCTCTTCCAATGTCATAACCACATGTTCCGGAACTAACTCATGTTCGGTTATATTCACCATCAACTCGGCTTCAAGAAATTGTTCTAACGTATATTTTGGTGCCATATCAGTTATCGCCTGAAATAAAATTGATTTTGGAATCAAGGTTTTGAAATAAAGAAATAAAGAATTTCAAAATTGGGCGCGATATTTTGAATAATTTTATTATAGTTTAAGAAATAAGAAATAAGAAACAGAAATTAAGAAAATGCCTGTTTTGCAGACGGTGTCATGCCGCCTTGCACAACGACAATAGCACGCGAAATAGCTTGTTCTTGCATTTGTTGACACATTGCCTGCAAAACCATTAAAAATATATATATATATATATACATATATTATACTTTGATCCTCGAGTCCTCTACCAGAGGCCTGGGATAATGATGTAAGATTTCAGCTAGTCCATCCAAGGACTTTCACCGAAAAAGTAGAGAGGACTGGCAGCAATTTGAACCATTATATTTCATATTAATCGGTCGTCTTCAATAGTATATCATAAATAATTTTTCTTCTAAAAGTCCTCACCATTACTGCTTAGATTCTCTCCGTTGGTCCTATAAACAAATTAAACAAATATGCCAGGGAGTCTCTTGGCGATAGAAGTATATATAAATCAGACATTTTTGGACAGGTTTACTACTGCGATAATAGAAGCAAAGCTCAGCATCGCTAAATCTGAATTGAGCAACAACCCACTAAGCCATTCTATTCCCATATATATATATATATATATTTAGAAACCACATTCCATAAATTCTTAATAAAAGCATTTTTTTATTCAATTGGCAGATTCTCGTACATTTGATAAAATTTTATCTAAATTAGCTAAAGAAAAGGAAACCTTTATATTTTTTATGCCGATTTTCACCTCTTCAGGAAAGAAAACAAACATTTGATCGGTTGGATCATCATTATGTGCAACAAGTATGGTTAAACTATCTCTTGATGGTTTACGTTCACTTGGCTTATCTCCGAATGTTTCTTTAAAATTTTCCAATGTTTGATCCAACTCTTCTTGCGTTACGAGATATCCACGATCGTGACACATCCAAAATTTAAAATCATCGTGAAATGAATCACAATTATTGATTACAAATAAAATATTTCTTTTATAACCAAATTTTTATAAAGCATAGAACACATGTAAAAATATTTTCGCGAATAAATTTGCAAATATTGAAATTTAGGCGAATTTATACAATGATTTTTAAATTAATTAAAAATGCAATAAAATGCAATTAATTAAAAATGCAATATATGCAAAAATACCTGCATAACTGTCTTCCTTACTCGCCAAAGTTTATATGTTTCCAATTCGTCATCTGCCATTTGCAAAAATTATCAACTAATTCTCCTAAGATTACTTATGAGAAATCATTCATAAAGTAACAAATCTTATCAACAAATAGTTATAAATTATGATTTATGATAAATCTTATTAGCGAATAGTTGTAAATTATGATTTATGATAAATCTTATCAGCGAATAGTTATAAATGATGATTTGTGATAAATCTTATCAGCGAATAGTTATAAATGATAAACTTTTTTGATAATTCTAAGAATAAGAAGAATTTTGCAATACTTTCTAAGGAAATAGAATATAAACCAATTGACGATTTTCACGAATAAAAAATAATTATCACGTGCACTTAATTTTCACGTGAATTCACGTAAAAGCTCCGGGCCGTTAAATTTGTAATTATCATGTGCACTTAATTTTTACGTGAATTCACGTAAAAGCTCCGAGCCGTTAAATTTATTTAAAATATTTGCGAAATAATAAGTTCACTTAGTTCACTTTACGAACTAATAATAACAATAAATAACTAAAAAAAATTAAAAATAATATAAAGTAAAAACTCAAAATAACAAAATTAAGTTGCAGACAATCGTGCTACGATAAATTTTACCACATTTAGTAGCACAATTTTACGTGATCCACTATTCACACGAAGCCACATATAATCTATTTTTATAAGCCCTGCATAGTATATTTTATAAAAAAAAGATTGATTAAAATGCTCCGGATGATGCTGGCGACTCGCCTGCATTTATCCTGTATCCTGCATTTCTATTGCCACTAGGGACCGCCTGGCATATTTGTCCAATGTAGGAAGCCAGTGGAACCAGTTTAACCAGTAATGGTGAGGACTCTTTGGAAAAAAAGGCATAATAATAAATTTACAGAGGGTTTTTAATCCGCCGTACTAAACTTCTAAAATAAAATCTTTAATAGATGATTTTTTCAACGATGCTAGATTTCGAAAGGCCTTTTCAGTCTTTAAATGGAAAAATTGATTAATATTGCCATTATTTTTTTTTTTAAATGAGTTATTTGAGTTAAATAATAGAATATAATAATAATAACAATAAATAATAATAATAATATAGGAAGAGGCTGACTTTAAATATCTTCGATCCATTCTAAATCCCAAATGACTAGGCAAATATAACAACAGCTAGAAATATGTTTTTCCTGCTAATGAAACTTTTATGAAATCGTCGCGAAGTTACTATAAAGACGAAAATCCGAGTCCGTGTAAGCTGCAATTTGATCTTACTATATGGCTGCGAAACATGGCCAATGAGAGCAGAGAATATTAAGAAGCTATCTGCCTTTGACCACTCATGTCTATGATACATTTTACGGATCCGTCGAACGGATAAAATCGCACAGAGTGTCACCTTCGCTGGTTAGGGCATGTTTTCCGTCGTCAATCACAAGAATTGACGCATATTTCGTTATTTGCTAAACTCTGTAATGGTTAGCGCCAAAAGCGAGGTGGGACAATCAAGACTGACTTCGACTGACACGGTGAGAAAAGATTTTGAACGTACAGGTGGACCAGCAATATATGGATTCAGGCGATGGAAAAAGCAATGGCTTCTATTGTATCATAGATATTTTATTTTTCATTTTATTTCCCTACTTTATTTTTTATTTTATAGGTTTATTTATTCGAAAAGTAAGTGAATTTAACGACCCTATTCGACTCTTAAATAGTTCTAAAAATGAGTTAAAAAGCAAAAAAAAAATAGTTTTAATGAATATTATTTGTTAATCGATTGCAGTTAAAATAGTCAGTAAAAAGGAAAAATAAATGGCGATTTTCCATTCGAAAACGGAAGCAATAGTTTTAACAAAAGTTGAATGGACATTCATCTTTTTTTGCTTAAAAATTTCTCTTTTTTTTTGCAATTTTTGCTTTTAGCAATTTTATTAATTCTTTTATGTGAATAAAAAATGAAAATTATTTTTGAAAAAAAATTTTTAATTAAATATTTCATTTTTCTTCAGTTATCCAAAATTAGTTCTTTTTATATTATTTAATTTTTCTTTTTTTTTTCTTAGCTTTGAAACTTTATTTCGACTATTTTCGGCTAATTGCCATAATTATAAATTGCATATAGCAATTAAGTAAATTTCATGTTCATAGTTTTGTTTTATTATTTAGTTGGTTGCCAATCGACACTAATAATTTTGTACTAAAGGAATATTATAATTGTCTTCAAAGTCATTTAACAGATATAACAGATTTTCGGTCATTTTGAGGACCAAGCATTCGTGCTCTTTGCCTTAAAGACCAACAAGCATTCGGGCTCTTTGCCTTAAGGACCAACAAGCATTCGGGCTCTTTGTCTTAAGGACCAAGAAGCATTCGGGCCATTTGCCTTAAGGACCAACAAACATTCGGGCTGATTTAAATTTAATTTTGGCATTAAAAAATCTGGGTGGTGATAATTTCCATTGATAATTTCCAAATGACTTGATAACTGAGAAATTTTCGACTTCTCAAAGCGATTTCTATCTTAAATTTCAAATTTGAAGGTAAAATTTATTATTATATTTATATTATTTTATTATAATTATATTTATTATTTATTTATTATATTTATATTATTTATTTATTAATTTTAGTGTACATTTGTATATTTTTATTTTTCTCCTTTTTCTAATAACTTATACCTAATAATGCTCAATTGAATAGAGAATAGTGATACGAAATAGTTAAGTATAGAAAATTTTTTATTTTTCTATATATTTTGTCTATTACAAGGATTCCCAATGGAGCCCCTCTGGAGCAAATCGATAGGCAAAATAGAGTTGGTTGGTTGGTTAACTTAAAGAACATCCGGAAATTTTTCTTATATATAAAATTTTTTTTGAATAAAAATTTCAAAATTTTTTCAAAAAAATTTCGAAAATTTTTAAGATTTCAAAAAATCTTTCAATTATTATCTTATTATCTTAAAAAATTTATTTCTTTTATTCATAATATAATATAATATATTGAGAAAATTTTCACAAAACGATGAATGCAAAAATTATTACATTTCGAATCGTTTCGCGGTTTCGCGGTTCGTATTGCTGTTCGGATTCAGCCGAAGGGCTTTTTTTGTCTCTTTTATTAAGCCATCAACCAAATGAAAAACTTTTTTTTTTTTTATCGTTAAAATAATTTTGAAATAAAAGAGGCTGCAATGGTGAATATATATTTATATTTTATATATATATTAAATATATTTTTATATTTTAAATATATATATTTATATATGTAAATATATTTTTAAATAATATATTCATTTTATTAATCAATTATAAATTAATAATAATTTTAATAAATTAAATTTCATGATTGAGATATCCCTTGCGAAGGTGACGAGGCAAAATCGTGCATTGCTATTATGTCTATTATGTCTATTAGTGGCAACGCATTTATTATCAATATTCCAAGCTTGAGTATTTTTATTAAGAATGGTTCTAAAAATTTTCCGATGTAATATTTTTTTGTTCCCTTCCAAGTACCTCAAAAGGTAATATTGGCTGAATGCAGCGTAAAAATCCATATTCGATGTTTTATTAAAATAAATTGAAAGAATTCTTAGTAGCTCGTTGTAGGATCCTTGATTCTTAGAGGTCAGAGGTCAGAGGGTGAGGGTTTAGAGACAATTCCACAAGTTTTTTGTCCTCACAGACGTAATTTTATAAACGCAGCCTCATATTCGTCATACTTCTGGGCCCATTGCATTGACAATCTCAATTCGTCGTTAACCTGGATCGAGCTGAAACGAATCGAGTTTAGGCTAAATAAATATTTCAACCGTTCTCGTAGATACATAGCAAAAAAAATATTCGACAATTTTCAATTAGTTACATACGAAAGATTTCCTTTCTATGTCTGCGCTAAACGATTTCAATTTTAAAATAAGTTTTGTACATTCGTTTGGCAGAGGGCGTTTAGTTTATCGCTTCTCGGCCTATTGGCTAAGATCAAAGTGTAGTATCTGTTCTTATCAGCTTAATCTCTGATATGTGATCTATTGATCACTTTGAGATTATTCTATTTTTGGGACCATAGATGGTTTGATGGGGCTTGCTCCGCACCATCTGCGGGTCGACCCGGTATTGCACTTGCCTCCGGGAATGGCCCTACCACCTCAGGGTGGTGAATGAAGTTCAAAGGAAGAACGGTAGAGAATTAGCATAAGCATGACAGGTGTGCAAGTAACTCATATAACAACTATGGCCAACTGTTGAGGATTTTTCTAAGTAAATTTTTCTGCAAGCAGCCGATGAAAACGAAATGGTTATTTTAAGACAAAAGCAATATTTATATAATAAATTACAAAAATCAGTATAAATTAATTATGTAAAAAAATCAAACAAAAAAAAGAAATGAATTTTTTTAATGAAAAAAATAAAAAATGACAAAAGAAAATTTGGAAAAAATCATTTGCAAAATATATAATTTTTTACAAAAAAAAAAGGATCCTTATTGAGGTTTTTTTTTTTAGAAATTCTCTATATTTTACCATAATTAAATCAATCTTTAATTCTTAAAATTTATTGTTTTCATAATTTTTTTTTAAAATTAAAAGTAAATATTGGAATTCCAGAAATATATGGGAAAAGAGTTGCTAAGCAACATATGGAAAAAAGAATTGGCTATCGATTCTGAAAGAGCTCCGATCTATCCCGACTAATTTACTAGTAAGTGAAGAAATCAAGTCAAGTCAAGTCAAGTCAAATCAAGTCAAGTCAACCATCGATCTACTATCTATATTTTTCCACTCCTCCACCCATCGCCTCCCCTCGCCCTCTCATTTATTTCATATTTTTAAAAAATTATTATTTCTGAAATTTTCATTGCGAAAAGTTGATTGATTGATTGCCTTTTTTCATTTGCTTGTGTTACTTTTGATTTTATTATTAGCAGCAAAAATTTCATTGGTTCCACTTTGAAATCTTATTTTTCATTGGTTCCATTCTGAAACCTTGTTTTTCATTGGTTCCATTCTGAAATCTTATTTTTCATTGGTTCCATTCTGAAACCTTATTTTTCATTGGTTCCATTCTGAAACCTTATTTTTCATTGGTTCCATTCTGAAACTTGCTTTATTCGATTCATACTTATTATTATATTTATTATATTTATTAAATTTTCGTAAATTCTTATTAAATTTATTTATAAAAAAAAAATCGTTGTTTAAACAGGCTTTAAAAAAAAAAAAAGACGATGTCTAGCGATGATTGGGTATCAAGAAATCTTGAAAAGCAGGTATATTTTTATTGTAATATTCAATATAATATTTATTGTAATATTTAATGGGAGCGGGGAGGGTGATTGAGAAAAATTTTTTATCCCCATTTTCATAAAATTTATCACAATTTTCTTGATTGGAAATAATGAAAGGATAATATTGCACAAACAAAAATAGACCATTTTAGCCATTTTAGAAAAATATTGATTGACCTGGTTGCTTTTTGTTTAAATAAATAGGAGATTTAATAAAATGATTGACTTCATCAAAATATATAAAAATCTGACCTGGCAATCTGACCATGCCTATTTAGTTTCCAATAGAAAGGCAATTTTATATTCTCATTTTTCATCAAATAATTTTTATTTAAACAGATATTTACTGATAAATGATTTGGCCTCGTACTAGTGTTCGGATAAAATCCCTTTGCTAAGAGAGATATTCATTGAAAAAAATATTGGTCGGTCGATAAGGGCCTTATAATGAGTTCATTTTGTAGTAGAGTTTTTCAAGGAAGGTTTTTTTCCTTAAATCTATGGCATTTTATTGTTAAAAATTAAATTAATTAGGCAAATTGAATGATTTTGAATTTTATATTCAGAAAGATTTTATTTCAAAGAAAAATATTTGATTAATTTCAGATTTTTTGAAATTTTTTAAAACAAAATGGAAAATTTTATAAAATCATAAACGATTATATTAAAATATATTATATATATTATCTTAAATAGAGTATATTATCTTTATTAGCTTCTTAATATTAATAAAAATTATACGATTATATTAAAATATATTATCTTTATTAGCTTCTTAATATTAATAAAAATTATACGATTATATTAAAATATATTATCTTTATTAGCTTCTTAATTAAAATAATATTAATTTTTCCCTTATAATCATTGATTATTTATAATTGACATTTATATTCTCGTTAATAATTCGAAATAATAGAAAAAAGATAGATTTATTCGATGAATAATAACTGTGGCGAATAAATTGCTTAGGGATTAGATGAATCGTAGCGATTTTATATATGAATAGGCTTAAGCTTATTTTATATTATACAATTAAGAGAGTCAATAAGTCAGCATTTCTATAAAAAATTTCGGATTGACCTAAATTAAATTAAGACGCCAAATTCTTTTATTAGATCGTTTAGGAAAATATACTAAAATAAAAATTTCTTTTATTCGATTTTCAAACCAAATAAATTTCAAATTTAATAAATTTAATAAATTTTAAAAAGCTAATAATTATAATTATAATAAAATTTAGCAAAAAAATTGAGAAAAGTGGAAAAAAAGAGCGAAAAGAAAGAAAACAAAGAATTAATGCATTTCTTTTTTTACGAAACTAAACATTTTTTATAATAATTTTCTCAAAATACGAATTTTTTATAAAATAGAAAATTCTAAAAATTTTAAATTTTAAAAAATATTGAATTAATTAAATTTTTACAAAATAAAGTTATTTTTTATAGAATAGGAAATTTTATAAAATTTATGAAATTAAACTGAAATTAAATTAAATATGACAATATTTATTTATATTTTAATATATTCGATTACAATTCTTTGATTAAAGAAAGACCTTAAATTTTTCTAATAATCATTCACTGATAATCATTCGAAAAATTCATTGAGAATTCAATTAATTAATGATAAAAATCAAGCATAGAGGAGTTATCATGGAAATGGAAATTGGCTAAACGCGATTGAACTGAAAATTACTGATTATCAATAATCTTATTAAAATTATATTATATCAATCTTATTAAAATTAGATTGATTATGATTTTATATATATATTTTTATTAATATTTTCGCACTATTCTTGATAAACGTATAAAATTGATTGACCAATTTATGGCCTTAGAAATAGATCATTTTCATTTTTGCGTGTGATTTATGTCACTTGTAGTGTTAATAGTCTTTGTGTGACAGCAGAATGCCTAAAATTTGTTAAATAGCTACAAAGGATTCTTTCCATCATTGTCCTTGAAAAGCATCATTGCCACGTATGGACGAATGAAATTTTTCTTTCTTCATTTTTCTAAAATTTTTTTTTTATTTTTATTATTATCAATTTTTATTTAAGCTTTAAGCATATATATATTTAAGCATTTAAATAAAATATTTATATAGATAAATAAATAAATTTTTTATTCGAAATTATTTAATTAATTTAATTAATTTAATTTAAATTAACTTTTTTTACTTATTGAAAAATGGTAATAAAACTACTAATTAATAATTTTAATAATATTAATGATTTTTTGATTTTTTTATTGGTTTTTATATGATTTGCCTTTATAATATTTCGCTTGGATATTTTTAGAAATAAATTCTATCAAAAACATTAATCGATTTAGCCTTTCATCCCTTAATTTATGGCCAACAAATTTCCAAATTACTTTTTAAATCTATTTTTTTTTCTTCAGCGAAAAATTTTGGAGGAAAAGCAACGCCAAAAACGGATGTATTCGGCTGGAATTCGTCAGAATGATGCGATGAAAGATAGTCGTTTTGGTACGTCGAAAAGCGCTAATAAAGAATTGCACGGATATGATGGGCCGTTATCATTCGGTATCACCAACATGGAGGATCCTGATCAAATAACATCGCCCGTTTTTCATGGTCGGACTATAATTACTGTACGAGGCGTAACACCTCCTCCAGCTCAGTGGTACTATTTAAAGAAATTTTTATTTTCTTTTTTTGCAATGAGTATTATTCACGTTAAATTGACTAAAATAATCAAAAGGTACACAAAAAAAGAATACGATTTTTTTTGTTATATTCCAAAGTTTATTGAAGGCTTAGCAAATTTATATTATAAGAATATTCTAAAATAAATAAATATTTCTAAAACAAATAGGCAAAACTGGAAAATTTTTAATTCTTAAAAAAATTTTCATGATCATTTATTTTTTTTTTTATAGCTCATCAGATGACGATATGCCATGGAAAGAAACTACTGAAATAGCAACTTCATATACTGATAACGGTAAAAATGATGCATCAGAATGTGATGAAGAACCGCTCGTTGAACCGTCGAGAGAAGAAATAGAAGAAAATATTTTAGCTGGTGATAAATATTTCAACAAATTTCATAATTTTACAATTTTATAATATCGAGTTATATTCAAAATTCTAAAATTATTGCGTTTCTTCAACGCTATTAATTTTCTGAATCACCGTCTAAATCGACTAAATTGGCCGATGATTATTTGTTATTGGATTATTGCCTACGCTTTTAGAAAATTTATGAAAAAAAATTATTTAAAAATTATTAAATAAAAAATAAATAATTAATAATTTATGAATAAATAAAAATAAAAATTATAAATAAATAATTATAAATAATAATAAATAAATAACAATAAATAATAAAGATAAAAATTTACTTTTTTTTTATTAGGAGAATGTGTAATTAAATTATAATAAAAGTTTATGATAATCACCAAAAATTACTCGATAATTAAAATATTTTTTCAATCATAGCAAATGATAATATTTAACTCGTAATGCAATTTCCTTCTAAAAAACTGATAAAGAAAAAAATAATTGAGGGAAAAATTGTTGCATGGAATTTCGATTTAAGGTACAGAACATCCTGACGTGAACGAAATAATAACAAACTTAGAGCAATTCGTCAAAATGCCAGCCAGAAGAAATATAACATTTAAATGTCGAATAACGAGAGATAAGAAAGGCGTCGATAAGGGTATTTATCCGACATATTATCTTCATTTGGAAAAAGATGAAGATAAGAGAGTTAGTTTTATCAACGCTTCAATTTTATCTTTAGTTTAATGTTTAGATATGGAAAAGCCAATTCCTGCCGCATTTAAATTATTTATTGTTTCAGAAAAAAGAGCGGATTTGACCTCAAAAAAAAGAGATCCATGAGGTCCATTAAAAAAAAAAAATCCGAGAAATCTTCTAAGAGAATTCTATTTATTCATACGATTCTAATGATTTTCCAAAAAAAAATTATATAAAATTATATTAAATTATTTAAGAAATGTTAACAGTTGGTAATTGAAAATCAATCCGTCGATTGGTTGAAAATTGAAAAGATTCATTTAAAATTTTTTTAAGATTTTAGATTTTTAATTTGCTGGAACTAAAATATCGTTTTTCGTTATTTTTATATAAATTTTATCAAATATTTTATCAAATTTTATGAAACCTGTTTTATGAACGAACCAATGAAATTTATTAGAGCAAATTAAGACTAATAATTCGTCGAATCATTAAAATGTATCGAAAAGTAAATCGTCATGAAAGTATCAATTCATAATTAACATTAAATGGCTTATAAAAAATTGTTAATTTTAAAAGAGTTTCATTTTCTAAGAGAGAAAATAAAAAAAAGTTTATGAAATTTCTAATTTGAAAAATTCCACTTAAAAAATCTTTCTTTTTTTTTGCTTTTAAAAAATATTATTTTAAAAATTATAAAATTATAAATTATTAGAAATATTATCTTATAAATTATAAAAATTATATGTATTTGTGGACTATTGTATCAAAACGATTTCATTTTTAATCGCAAAGGCTAAATCTATTAATTACAAATAAAAAATAATAAAAAATGAAAACAGATGGCAGATGAATATTTATAATACCGTTGTCGTATGCAAATGAATCTTGAGTACCACTCCCACGCCTTGATGGTTCCCTCTCGTTAAAGAATTCATGAATTAGGATTGACAAAAATATATATTGTTGATCTCATAGCACCTATTACCTGGAATTCACATTTTATGAATAAGGATTTTTTCTCGTTAAAGAATAAAGACCAAACCCATAGCATTTTAGAGGGGAAATGAAAAGCATACAAGAAAATTGAAAATCAATTATAATATGTGATTTAAAAAACTGCCATTATTATTATTTAGTATTATTTTATTATTTGAAAGAATTATTATTTAGGTGTTTTTACTGGCTGCTCGTAAGCGTAAAAAGAGCACAACAGCAAATTATTTGATCTCAATTGACCCAACGGATCTTAGTAGACTTGGCAGTTCTTTTATTGGTAAAGTAAGGTAAATTGTTAAAATTTCTTCCTGAAATTATGACTTCCTCGTAGAATTAAAATAGAGAAATATTAGATGGAATATTTGCGATATATATTATTTAAATTAAAAAATTTTCACCGAAAAATTCACCATCAATAGCTAAAAAAAACTGCAATAAATTGCAATTGAAATTATTTATTTTAAGGTCGAACGCCCTTGGTACTCAATTCACACTTTATGATAATGGAGAAAATCCAAAAAAAGCCTCAGTAGTTGGGAATGATGTTCGACAGGAACTAGTCGCCGTTATATATGTTTGTTCACTTCCAAAATACTATTTGAAATGAACCTAAGAAAATATTTAGAAATTCTTAGTTCTCATAGAAATTATTTACAAATTTATGTTAAGGAGACGAATGTACTTGGATTCAAAGGACCACGAAAAATGACAGTTCTTATTCCAGGAATTTGTGACACTGAGAATTATCGCCGCAAGGAAATACGACCAATTTCTGTTAGAATTTGTAGAATTTAACTATAGATCGTAAAGCTGAACAATGGACATAATTCTCGTATTATGCTTATTCATTTATTCTGATTAAAGACAAAATCAAGCAAAATCATGAGAAATTATATGTGAGAGGCAAAAGTAAAAAAAAAAAGGATTTTTTTCGACAAAAATTAAAAAAATAATTTTAGTTGATTTTCTCTTGAAACTAGATACATATGGAAGTACCACATTGTTCTGAAATTTATTCCAGTAATTAACTATACGAATAAAATGATATATAATATCTCTATTCAGTTTTCATTTCATCGGTAATTTCTAAATACCATTAGCTTCTATTATATATATTCAAAAAGTTCCACTGTACAATACGTTCATTAATTAACCTTGTAACTTTGAAAATTAAATTTTAAAATTTAGTTAGTCAAATATTTTGTGGAAAGAATTAAAAACCTTAAAGGCTCAAAGGAATTGATTAAAATTTAGACAAAACAGGAAGTAATTTTTCTTAATTTTTTTTATATTTTCTAAAAATAAATATGGATGATAACTTTTAGGAAAGAGATACGATTTTAGAAAAATGGAAAAATCGTCGAACTGAGGAACTAATAACAATGCATAATAAAAACCCCGTTTGGAATGAAGGTTTTAATAATAATTTTTGATATTTTCTAAAATTTTTTCTTTCATTTAATTTTATTATTCCATTTAATTTTACGTTTCCCAAATGATTCAAATTTTTCAATTCTTTTATATTTTTTTTTTTCTGAATTTTTCATTTCTTTCGTAATTAACGATGGTTTTTTTCCTTATTAAAAATTTTTTAAATCAATTGTTCAGCTATAAGAAGAATTAATCTTGTTTGGCGACCTTTTTTCCATCAGTTTTTTGGAAATCTGTGATAAGAAAAGAGTTGCGTTTTGATAAAAATTTAAAATTTTTCTAAATTTCAAAATAATTATATGATTTAGATTCACAATCATACGTCTTAAACTTTCATGGTAGAGTAACACAAGCATCAGTGAAAAATTTTCAAATTATTCATGATGCTCATCGTAAGTTTATCTGCAGAAGTTTTTTTCTGTGTTTATTTATAAATCAGAACGATTAATATGAAGAAAAGATGAAAGGAAATATAAATAATGATAAATATAGTCATGAATAGAGAAGTACCATAATAGCTATTAATTCCTGATACCAAATTTGAAAGATTTGTTTTATTGGAATATTGAGAGATTAAAACGGAGATTTAAAAAAGAAAGAGATTATGAGGGGCATTAAGTGAGAATAATGAGGATTTAAAGATATATTATCAGTTATCAGTTACAAATCATATGACCAAATAGGTGATATTTTGCTTGCATAATTTCTATCATATACCTATTTCCAAAATTTTAATCCAATCCCCGAGCTTTTGTAACTAGAATCCTCCGTGGAACTATATTCAGCCTCTTTTTCAATTCTAATTTGAAATTCTAATTTAATTGAGAATTCCCTAAAAAAACATTCATATTCATTTATTTTTAATTTCTTAAGTCTAAAAATTTATCATAAATATTACAGTAGATGACGATTTCAGCGGATTATATTGTTATGCAATTTGGTCGAATAAGCGATGAAATTTTTACGATGGATTTTCGCTATCCGTTATCACCGCTTCAGGCATTCGGAATTGCTATGACTAGTTTTCATGGAAAAATTGCTTGTGAATAAATTATTCGAATTTTATAGTTCTACTATGATTTTAAATTGTACAAAGTATAAAATCGACACAATAGCGATGGTTATAATACGCGATTCGCGCTTTTGCCAGTTTATATATATGATTAGTGAAACATATAAAATCGACACAATAGCGATGATTATAATACGCGATTCGCCCATTTGTCAGTTTGGGTATAAGTCACATATAACATATATTTGTTATCATCTATTATTGCGATATACATTAGCCAAGAGTTTGGAATATTTGAACTTAATTAAATGGAAATTTACAGGCAAAATTTGAAAAAAAAATAGGAAATAATCTTACGTGGTATATTATAGGTCGTTCATCCCAATTCATTTATTCTTCTCTTTTTTCTACTAATGGCACTCATTATTCCTCGTTCGACTGGCTGCAATCGCTATTCAAGTGAGATCCCATTAGACGAATCACTTGAGAATAGAGGTATGTCCCTGTCACTACCCGATTTTTACTTTAATCAACAATGTTAATTTTTATCAAGGAGGATGAATCGTTCTCGTGGAGGCTTGAACTTTATCGAACTTACCACTTAGCGATTGTGTCTCTCCGATCTAAAAAATTTGAGTGGTTAGTGGAGTTCACCATTTCTGATCAGTTTTATTGCACCGACTCTTTGTGTGAAATTTGTTAGAGAATCGCTTAAGCATATAAGTACAGTTGTGCTCTAAATATTACTAAAAGTTTAATAATCTTATTGGAACTTTATAGGAACTTTAATATACGAGAATATAGGTCTGAGCAATTATCACTGCGCTTCTCTCTTTATTCTCTCTTTTTTGCTATTTTTTGAACGAAACATTCGAAAAATATTATTTAATTAAGCCTCGTATTGTTGATAATTTTCATTATATATTTATGACTTTATAGGATTTTTCTTCAAAAATGTGATTAATAGACAAGTTGAATATTTCTTTAATGGAAAGTTCTTTAAAATGATAAACTGATATGTTAATAAATAAATCATCTAAAACTGTAGTTTAAAATATTTTCGATGTTTTAAAAGTTTCCTATTTATTCAAAGATTGGTACCAGCAACAAGCGGATCAAATCTAATCAGAAATAATTTACCACAGTTCGAATGGTGAATGGTAATTTCTTATAAATATTAATAGTAAATTCGTTTAAATGAGGTGACTTTATCTTAAAAATACAGTTTTACATGAAAATGATAAGGAGAAGAATAGATAATAGATACTGTTGGCTGAAAGAGTAGGTCATTTAGGCAATGAAAAGACGATGAAACTATTCGTCCTTTCAAAATATTTATCGCTTTTTCGGTTATTTATAAAAATTTTCCGTATTCATAATGAAATTTTTTAAAATTAATAAAAATTTTTTTTTCTAAAAAATCTTTTGATTAATAAATTTTTATCATTATTTTTTTTATTATTTATTGCTATTTTTTTTAAAAAATTTCTTCATTATATTTTCAACAATTAGTATTTATTTCTAACATTAATGATTTATTTTCATTAAATATTTTTTAGTATTTATTATCATTTATATATTTGTTATTAATTATTTTTATGCTAATATGATAAAAATAATAATAAAATAATAAAAATAAAATAATAAAAATTAATAAAAATAATAAAAATTTAAATAATTAAAATAATAAAAATAATATAAAATAAAATAATAAAAATTTTTCACTTTTTTTAATAAAATTTATCATCGCGGTGAATGGTGAAATTAAGAAAACGATTTTATGGTTTTGTTTTTTTTTTTTGATTTCTGGTGCTCAGAAAACAATTTTATTTATCCTATGGCAAAGAATTTTCATACTAGCAGCCAATGTAGTTAGCCAAACCAGAAATAGTGAATACTAATAGATAAAAAAAAAGGAATAAAAAAGGAATAAAGGAAAAAAAGGAACTCTTTAAATATATTAAAAATATATCATATAAATAAATATAAATAATGATAATAGAAAATACCAAATATAATATTCGTTACTATGATAAAATGTCTTTAAAAAAGATAGTGAATAAAGTGAATAAATAATTAATGGTAACACTTCAAAAGTTACCACTTTGTTTGTATTATCTTCTCACTTGTATTATCTTATCACTATATTTGACTAATAATTTTTACGAAATTTCATTCAATCGAACTGATAATTTCATTATATTCTACTATTCCTTATTCCTTCTAGAGAAATGAACTAATTCATTATTACAGAAATGATATTACGGAATAAAATCAGTATTAATTTATTGTTAATAATATTATTAATAGATAATTTCACTATTGCTGGTCGAATTTTGATAATTCCAAGCTCAATCTTTCCAGTACATCGTTTTACAATGAGTCATATCGCTGATGAACTTGTTAAGCGAAAACATAGCGTAACATGGTTGGAATTCGGTTATGAGAAGGTTGGCTGATAATAATTTTATCATAGCTTTCTTGCTAAACTTACTGAACTTCCATTATTATATCTGAAGTTCCATTCAAATCTAGTTTATTTCACTTATTGGTTATCAGTTATTACTTAAAAAATTCACTTATTTCGAGCTTCTGAATTTATTTAGCATGTTGATAATTTTCTATGTTTAAAATATTGTGAAATTTTAAAATTATCTGCAAAATTCCTACTTTATCTATTATAATGAATGAATTTAATGGTGATATAGTGATATGGCATTTTAATAATCTTGATATAAGATCCATTTTGTTGGTTAAATATCGAATAAATTCTAATTTATGAATTACTTATTGGATTCCTATTGCATCTAAATTATGGTGCTTATGCGGTTTTGTGGCAAAATTATATGCCCAGAAATGAGAGTAGCTCAGGCTCGAAACCAGCCGACACACTACACTTCGTTAGAATTTATTGAGTTGAACCCTCGGCAGAGAATAATCTAAAGAGGGAATTAACCAACCTAGCAGTACCACCACCTAGATGAATCAATTCGCTATACCATGTCCAATTATAAATCAGGAATTATGGCAAATATTAAAAGGGAATAGAATGGATCAGTGTGTGTTATTGCTCAGTTCAAAGCGTCCGCATCGAGATTTTAAGCCTATGTAGTAAACTTACCACCAGAAATTCGAGTAATGTTGGCTATTCACTAGGCCTATATCGCCAAGTGATTCTTCTCTAGCGAAATTTATCCTATTCAGCAAGGAGAACCTAATCAGCAATGATGAGAGAGCTTTTATGAAATAGGGATAAATTAAATCCACAGTGGATAATACGGCAAATTTTCCATGATCCATGAAAATTAACGAGGATTACCTCCTTATTTTTGTGAATCGTATATGGATCGATAATGAATTTTCTGGATTATAAGCCACTAAATATTTAACCAATTTGAAAAACTTTAGGTCAATTTCTCTTTTTCTTTTGTAATATCATTTATATTTTCTAATTTTGCTAAGTGTTATTGGGTTGAACCCTCGGCAGAGAATAATTTAAAGAGGGAATTAACCGACCAACTTAACAGTTAGTACCACACCTAGATGAACCAATTCGTAAATATCTCTTCAAAAATCTCTTTATCTTTGTTTTTGAAAATCTTATCATTATTGGACCGTATTTTCTTCGCTATGCGCCATGGCCGCGCTTTCTCTTTAACAAATCCCCTTCACTTTTTTCTAACTTTTCCACTTGGAAGAAAATGATTTAACTGCATAGAATCGTTGGGAGTGGTGGTGGAGGGGTATGATGGTTTCTTGGTTTCAGGTGTTGAACTGGTTTTTTCTACTTTGCTACGACGAAGTATGTGGCAGTAATTGAAAAAGTACTAGAAGTACATATCTGTACGATACGCTTATTAGTAAAATTGGTGAAATAAGGGGGGAGAGTGGGTGAGGGGCACAAATAATAAGTTACTGGCGGTCGAATGAAATAGTACAACGATAGCTTTTTCTATAACTCAATTTTAACCTATTATAACTATTTGAAAATTTCCATTTTTTTTATTCTTTTATTTATAAAAATATAAATTTGCGCTCATATTTAAGCAATTTTTTCATAAATCTTTTTTTTTTTTAAATGAGTATTATCATTGAAAATTTTTTTATCGCCTATTGATAAGAAATTATTACGTTATTAATTTTTTTTTCTACATTTTCATATATATTTCGAAAAACTTTATTCAGTTTTATCAGTAAAGAAACAAGTTTAAAGAACTTTGTTTTTAATTTTCATCACATTTTTTTTTTTTTTTTTAATGATCAAGTACAACGAATTAATTTTCGTTGTTCGCATGGGAAAAAATGTTTCTTTCTCCTTTTATTAGTGAAATATTCAATAGAGGAAGAGAAGACGACGTTTTAAAAAATTATTGAGAAGGAGAAAAGAAGGAGAGGAAAGAGGAAAAGAAAGATGTAAGCAAAAGAGATCCTCCTTAGTATTTCACCGAACCTTTAGAAAATTTCTTATTGTTGGCGAATTAGCCTAATAATCCTCTCCGAACCATTTAAAAACGAGTAGAATGGATTTATATTACTCCCTAGAGGATTTAGAGAGTTCCTGGTGAAAGAGTTCACCAATGTTCACCTCTATTAATTAGAGCATTGAGCAAACAAGACCACAAATGTTGTATGTTATTCGACAGTATGAAACATAATTTAATAACATAATAATTAAATCACCAGTAAATTAATTTTATTGGTGAACATTGGTGCAAATTTAGTATTTTTCATCCAGTAATTCCTTATTTTCATATAATAAAGTATTAAAATGAATAGCGAATATTTTCCACGAAACCAATTTCCTAGACAATTGATTTCTTTAAATTTCAATTTAATTAAGCATTCAAATTAAATTAAATTAAATTTATTAAAAATTAATTAAAATTAATAAGAAAGCGGTCGAAAGTTAATTAATTTTTAATTTTTTTCGTAGTTCCATCGATATATTTGAATTTTTCAAATTTCAGTCAAACTTCGAATTAAATCATGGAGTTAACGAAATTTTTTGGTATGTCAATAGACGAGGCTCGAAGCAAGATAATCGTTTTTATCGAAATATTTCGATAGATGAACTCGTATGGCGAACAGATTTTATGAATGATGCCGAAAAAATATCAGCATGGTTGACGAGTATTGAAATTTGTGATCGGGTAATTTTGTAGTTTTCAGTATTTTCAATATTTAAATTTTTTTACTTTTATCGATTTGCATTTTAAATGAATTCAACGATGTAGAAAATGTCGAAATTTTGTGGCCATTTGAAAGACCGTTAGTTAGTTTATGCTGGTATTTTGTTTCTTTTTTTATTAGATTTTAATTTAATTTCATTAGTTTTTATTGCAGATTTAAAGAAACAAAATTATAGATTGTCGTAATAAGTTCGTTAAATGTTGCCTCCATTTCTGGTTTAGGAATCATTTTACAACAGATTACTATAGATGGGTTACAAGTACTACTTGGGTTTTTAAAAGAGGGGAACGGAGGTCATCAAAGGTCAAAAGGTCATTTTATGCCGTGAATCTCAGTATTAACTCTCCAGAATGAGAATAACAATACACTGGTCTTTATCTGCACTTATTGTCGATACCCATTCAATAGTTCAAGTTCATTATTTTTGCGATTCGTCGCTTTCTTTTCTGATATGACTTTATTTGTTGTTCAGTAAATAGTGCATTGATATGAGTGGGCTTAGAGCATGTATGGCTGCATTTACGACATACGGCGCAATATTTGATAAGACAAAAGCATCTGTCTTTATTGCACTTCGTTTTTTATTATTCATATTTTTTGCATATTTTTATGTTTCAGTTATTCTACCGATTGTCTTATTTATAGATTTTATCACATCGGAAATCTGAATTCGATGAACTGGTTATACAAAAATTTGACGTAGTCATTGTGGATGATCTATATAATCCATGTGGATTATTGTTAGTTGGTCTAAAAAAGAGCACATTTATTTATTGGTCGTTGACATCATTTCGAACTGAAACAGCATGGGCTAATCAAAGCCCTTTTCCACCGAGCTATCTTCCAGTTCCTGGCACGGGGTATTTATTTATCGAAAGAAAAGAAAAATTTATAAAGAAATATAAGATTCTACAATCCTTTTCCAATTAAATTTTTTTTAAAATTTTATTTCTCTAGCATTCTCATAACATTTCTAACTTTTATTAATTTCTCCTAATTTTTCAAAAAATTTATGATTTATTTTATAAATAATATCTATTATAAATAATATATATTAATATTTAGTTTGGTTAATAAATCGTAAGCCTTATGAAAGGTTGTTGGTTTTCGTTTAATAATTTTAATTTTAATAATTTTGTTGTTTTTGCTTTATTTGAGGGGAAAAAAAAATTTTCTTTAAGGTTAACCGACGATATGAATATGTTAGAACGTATTTATAATTTGGCTGCTTATTGGCGTACTATATATGTGCATCATCACATTATTTTACCTAGAGTGGATGTGATTTTTCAAGTAAACTAACTGAATTTTTGATATTTTTAAATTTTTTGAAATATTTATTTTTGAATTTGTGAGATTTTTGCCAAATGTACTTAATTTTTCAGGCATCGAAAATTAGCGAAAATTAATAATAAATGTCTGTGTTCAAAAACCACAAATAAAAATTTAAAGAATGTAATAAAACGATATTAAAAAGTCGAATTATTTTACAGAAATATTATCCCGAGAGTGTGCCCAATGCATTTTTCATCGAGCGGAATGCCTCAATCAATTTCATAAATACACCGCTTGTTTTCGATTTTGCTAGGCCCTACATGCCTCGAGTAATATTTGTTGGTGCCATACACTGTCGAGAGCCTCAATCTTTAGAAGGAGTATAATTTTAATATTTTTATTAATAATTTATTATTTATTTTATAAATTAACCACTTTTTTCGTTATTGCTATCAGCGTTTTTATTCTATATTTATTATACTTTTTGCTTTTTTATATAATTATTTTTAATAGAATAACTGAAAATTTCTTAGGAAAAACAGAATTGTAATTTTAATGTCGCAGTTAATAATAATCGGTTGTACTTTTTTTAAAGGCTTTATCGGAATTTGTTGATGGAGCAGACGATGCGAACGGTGTTGTTTTATTCACTTCAGGTTTTAGTATTGAATGGAAGAGAGCGCCAGCAAATATAATCGTTTGTTTTCACTTTTTTGATAAATTTTATAAATTATTCGTTCGTAACAGTTTTATTATGAATTCAAATCGTTTTAGAACGCATTCGTAAACGCATTCAGAATCATGAATGCTACTCGATTTGTTTGGCAATATAATGGATGGCCGATTAAGAATTTGCCAAAGAATGTATTAATTTTAGATTGGGTTCCACAGCAAGATCTTCTTGGTATATAATTCTAATTAGATTTTTTTATCCTTTAATTAAATCCTTATTTTTCACTTTTTTGATAAATTTCATATTCTTATTAATAGAAGCAATGCATTCTTTGAGTTTCAATTACTCTAATTCAATTATTCCATAGTTTCTCATTTTTGATAGTCTAATGATGAATTTTTCCATTTCAATGTTCTTCCAAAATCAATAATAAAAATATTTTCAATTATTTTTAAATTTGCTTTTTTGAAATTTGGAAGAAAAAAAGATAGAAATTATCATTTTGATTAATGATGGAGATGCGTTTTCTGATCAAATATTTCATATTTTTAAAACTTTTGATTAATCGTTGTGCATTTGCTTATAACATATTTTGCGAAAAATTTGATAAATATAGAAAAAATGTTTTTCCTAGGCCATCCTAAAGTAAAAGCGCATATCACTCATGGTGGTCTTAATAGCGTTATTGAAAGCGTATGGCATGGTGTCCCTATCATCGGCATTCCATTCACTATATCTGCTTATGATAATATTATAAGGTTAACGAGTCGGGCTGTTGGCATATTGTTATCGAAAAAAGATCTCAGAGTTGAACTGATCATAAAAGCCCTCAAACAAATTCGGCATCCAAGGTATTGGCTATTGAAAATTTACATTGTACAATATGATCTTCACTAATACCTTAATTGATAAAATTGATAGAATTAAAAAATATCTCCTATTTACATTTTCTATTTAGTTTAATTGAGGGTCTTTCATTAAATAATTTTGTAAAATTTACTTTGAATATTTTTTTAAAATTTGGCTTCATGATTTTTTTTTTTGATTTGAAGGTATATGAAAGAAATGAATGTGTTTCGTGATATGGTGGTCGATGTGCCATATACTGAATTAAATCATTCCACATTTTGGGTTGAATTTATAGAACGCCATCAGGAGGTTGTCTTTTATCATTTATCATTTATCATTTACTTTTTCAAATTTCAAATTTGCAACGATGTAGCAGCTGATATGAAATTGTTCTGCTATTTATGTTGCATTATTTTTGCAACATTTTTTTATGAACATTTTTTCGCAAAATATGTTATATTTTTTTATGAAATTTCAAATACCATTTAAATAAAAATTTTTTTCCTTTTAAGCTGGTAATAGAAATGATAATAGAACATAAAATTGAAATTTGACCTCATTAAAAATATTTTTATTTAGGTCCCTCATGCCCGATCTGGTGCCGATGAACTAAATATTTTGCAATATTTTTTGGTTGACGTGTTCGCATTTTTGTTTGCAGTATTTGTATTTTTATTTGTTTTTCTTGTCATAATATTCAAAAAACTGATTAGTTTAACGAGATATTTTAGTGTTCAGTTGAAGATTTGTTTAAGTAAAGAAGCGCTGATTAAGAAGAAGCACAACTAGTGATCTTCCATAAGTTATTTGAACATTCTTCATTTAAGAATATAATCAACCTTATGCGAATGAAATACATACCCACATTATGCACTTCATAAATCAGAAATTAGAAATTTGAAATTCGTGAAAATTCGGTTCGCATTTTGTAGATTTTTATAGTTGATTTAATTCAATCAGAATTTATTAAGGTAAAATGCATTGTTACGGTGCTCTATGGAAATTGAATTGAAACTCGCATTAGTGATGCGTAATCATTTCTATAAATGTCCTTCATATTCTTTCTGATTGAATATATTCATTTCAAATAATTTAAATATGAATATAAATTTTAATATTATTACTGTGAAAATTCGGAGAAATTCATCATGTAATATTTCATTTTGAAAAGAAAATGCAGGATTCATGAAGAAATTTTTTAAAATCATTTTTCTTCAAATATTGATTTACTGATTTATTATTATTGTTATCACTATTGTTATTTTCTATTAATTATTATTTTCATTTTAATAAATGCTATACAGTGGCCTATGATATTTAAATATTATCGAGAAATTTTTTTGTCATTTAGATTTTTTTTTTAATTTAAATAAATTAATGAAATAAAATATCTAAAATATCATTATGGTTTTTAATTTTTTAGCCAAAATGTTTTTCAAACATATTTTTGAAATTTCTTTAAAATGCATTTCTTTTTTTTAGTACGAACTAGTGAAACGAGCCAAACGAGAAGTATAAATTAGAAGAAAAATTATTCTTAAATTTTAAATAATAAAAAAATTTTTAACGAATAAATGAAATATTATTATTCTAGAAAATATGGCCGGCGATGAGGATACATATTTATCATCAACCGAACAAGAAAAAATACTTGATGAATCGACGCGAATCGTAAAATCGGAGGCATTTGAAATGAAACGATGTTTAGATAAAAATTTATTAATGGATGGTATTAAGCATGCTTCATTAATGCTTAGCGAAATGCGTACCGGTGCGTTAACACCGAAATATTATTATCGACTTTGTTAGTATTTTTTATTTTATTTATTGTTTTTTATTTCTATATAATAAGTGTAGTGGAAATAGAATGACTCAGTGGATTGTTGCTTAATTCGGAGCGTCGATGCTGAGGTTCTATTCTGCGTAGGAGTAAAGTAAACTGAATGGTGCTGGCGACTAACCTGTATTTCTATGGCTAAGAGACTTCCTATAGGCATATTTGTCCAGTGCGACAAGCTAGCGGAGCGGGTTTAGCCAGTAATGATGAGGATTCTTTAAAAAAATGCAATAAGTGTGATATTATTATTTTTTTAGCCAATTCACTGATATTTTTATTTTTTGTTTTTTGAATATTTAAGGTGCACGTAAATATTTTGTAGAAAAAAGTAATATTTTTTTAATCTTAATTAATTAATGCATAAGCGATTTAATATTTTTAATAATATTTGTTGTATTTTATTAATAGATTATTTTGATATTTCAAATGGTCTTTGATTTGGTTTTGGTGTTTTTTTGTTGTTTCAAATGGTTTTTATTTTTTTGATTTCAATTTAAAAACTAAGAAATTATAAAAAAAATCGCCTCATGAAAAATTCATTGTTTAGATGTTGATGTAACTAACGAATTGCAACATTTGGAGGCTTATTTATCAGATGAATATGAAAAGGGTCGCCAGGTTAATGATTTGTATGAATTGGTTCAATATGCTGGAAATGTTGTTCCGCGAATGTAAGTTAATTCAATCTCGAAAATTTTTATAATAATTTCTGTAATAGAATATTGAATTCTATAATAATCTCATTAAAAATATATTACTTTTTTGTCAATTTTAAATTAATTTTAATTAAAATAAAATTATTGGCATAAATTTTCAAGGTATCTCTTGATAACTGTTGGTGTTGTGTATATTAAATCGGGCGAAGGTAATGCCAAGACAATTTTAAAAGATTTGGTTGAAATGTGTCGAGGTGTTCAACATCCTCTTAGAGGATTGTTCTTACGAAATTATCTATTACAATGTACTCGTAATCTTCTTCCAGATTTGCCGGATACTTCAGAGTTTGTTTTTTCAGAGTCGTAGTCGTAGTCGTAGCCGTAGTTCTCTTAAAAATTTAGGATTTGATTGAAATGTTAATGATTTTCAGGTGTGAAAATGGTAATGTGAAGGATGCTATCGATTTTATTATGGTGAACTTTAGTGAAATGAATAAACTTTGGGTTCGCATGCAACATCAAGGTCCGAGTCGAGAACGGGATAAGAGGGAGCGAGAACGCCGAGAGTTGCGTATTCTTGTTGGTACCAATCTTGTCCGCTTGTCACAACTTGAGAATATCACCATCGAAACATATCAAAAAGTTAGCAAGATTATCAATTAATAATAATAAGAATTATATTTTCAATTTTTTGGGAATTTTCACTTGAATAAATAATTTTAATTTTTTTAAATTTTATTTTATCAATTCATTAAATTGCAAAACATAATTTTACCAAATAGTTTATTTCATTAATTGAACTTACTGAAAGGTTTGGTGATTTCAAAGATTACATTTTCCAATATAAGTTGTACCATTTTTTTAGCTCAAATATAATTTGATAGTTGAATTAAAGTTATTTTCTCCTATTAAGATATTTCCTTTTTATTTAGGTTGTTCTACCCGGAATTCTAGAACAGTCGGTATCATGTAAAGACCCTATATCACAGGAGTATTTAATGGAATGTGTTATACAAGTTTTTCCAGATGAATATCACTTAGCCACTCTTCATGAATTTTTAAATGCATGTACAGATCTTCACCAAGCTGTTCAGGTTATTTTTCAGTTATAATATTAATATTTTATTCGAAATTAAGGGTTACAGCTTTGCATTTTGCATAAAATTTACATAGGTAATTCAAAATACACCATGCTTTTTCAAAAATTTTTTTTTTTTTTGGCTAGTTGTTTCGAACACTTTTTTTAGCATTCTTCACAACTTATTTTTTGTAACAATTTAGATCAAAAATGTACTTATCGCACTTATCGATCGTTTAGCAATTTATGCGACATGTGAAGGATGTGAAATTCCTGCAGATATGCCATTATTTGATATTTTTTCGAAACAGACTGAATCTGTTATAACAAGCAGACAGGGTATGTTGCCTGAGGATATCGTTAGCTTGCAGGTACTCTTGTGAATTTTATTTCGAAATATTTGTTCAAAAATATTTTTCTCATATTTTTACCTTTTTTTGTAATTAAATGCACTGTAATCTTAGAATATTACAAATAACAGTTTGGTCAATTCTTAAAAGACACCCATTTTATTCGAAAACTTCGATTATGAAGATACTTTTCATTGTGCTATTCTAAAATTTCGTGCTCAAATTTTCAATAGTTTTTTATACTTTTTTTTAAATATCTTTAGATGGCCTTGTTGAATTTTGCCTTAAAGTGTTATCCACATCGTCTGGATTTCGCTAACATAGTTTTGGAAACAACTTGCTCTATTTTTGAAAGAATGAATTTTTCAAAGTTTGTCTGCTGAACATTATACTTTTTAAAATAATTATTATTTAATTTGTTTTATTTTACAAAAAAAATTTCTTTTTCTTTAGGAAAATTCTATTTTTCTGGTAAATTTAGATTTTTAGCCAATTGAATATAAGATTTTTATTTAAAAAAGGTGCCTTAAAGTTGTTCAACATAAATTAATTTAATTTAGAGCCGCCGCAAGTGAAAATTCGGGTCGAGAATTGCTTCGATTTCTTCGAATTCCTGTTGACCAATATCATGATACTGTTCGGTTATTGCAACTCTCAAAGTATAGAAATGTTATCAATTTACTCGATTATCGTGGCAGAACGCAAGCTTGTGCATATGTAATTAACGATATGGTGGAAAATGTAAAATTTCTTTTTATATTTTTCATACATCATTCTTTAACTAATAGACAAATGAAATTTTCTATTTTTCCTTTTTCTTTGTTTATATTTTCTCAAATACGTAATTATTTGCAAATTTGAAAAAAAAAAGATCAATTTTATTGACCATATCATTTTATTTTATTATTATCATTTTATTTTATTATTTCCTTTATATTTTCATATAATTAAGCATAATTAATTCATAATTAATTGCTTTTTTCTTTAATTTTTATAGAATTAAAAGATAATATTTTAGATAATACTTTTCAGGACGTTTATCTTTCTTCACAAGAATCTGTGGAAGAACTACTAAATCTTATAGAACCTCTTCTGGTCGATCAAGATGATCAACCTGATGATCTTGAAAAAAATGAGGAATTCGCTGATGAACAATCCCTGGTTGCTCGCCTCGTTAATTTGATTCATGCAGAGACTGCTGATCAACAGTTTATCGTAAGTTTATTTTAAGTTTATTTTTTTTTTCTTGTATGATTATTTCACTGATTATTGCAAGTCTCAAAACATAGAATTTCCCAGATTTATTCATATTTAGTTGTAGTTGTAAAAAAAATAAAATCTGCCTTTGTTGTCTTTTTTTTCATAAGTTTACGCAAAAATATGCCGCAAAGAAAAAAAAATATAGGATAATTGGCGATAAGAATCTCATATAGTTTATATAGTTTCAGATGGCATTGCCCAGATTCAATTTTTCATGATAGTTTTATTCCTTCCAAGAGGGAATTGAACCAACGACGCTTATCGTCTAAAAAAATGTAGAAAAAAAAGATTTATTTTCGTTTATTTGTTTGTAAAGATTATTGTATAATTGCAAGAAATCTTACAGTTTTTAAATCAAATTAGAAAGCGCTTCGGTAATGGCGGCCGATATCGAATCCGTTATACTTTACCAACAGTAGTCTTCGCTGTCTACCAACTGATAATACGTTATTCGAATGAATGCAAAGATGATGTATATTTTTTAAATATTTATTACAGCTTCTAATATTGGTTTTTTTTTTAAATGGAAATTGAAATTTGGAACTGACTTATGGAACTGACTTATTTTGATTTTAAATTTTTTCCCGTTATTTTTTGCAAAATTAATTTCTAAGCAGTTAACTGAGTTAATTTTAGGAGAAGTGGAATGTCAAATTACAAAAAATGCTTCTCTTTTGCATGACTACAATTGGAGCATTAGTTACTAATGCTGAAATGGCTTCTATTCCTTTGAATCTTTATCTTCAGGCTGGTTTTTTTAGTCTTTTGCTTTTTTTATCAGTTTCGCAAAGAACAGTTTTGTTTAAATGCTGCTAAATTATAATTTCCACTCTTTCTTTTTTTTAGGGAGCGCTTATCGCCGATAAAGTGAATTTTGACAATAGTTCAACTGTAGCCTATGAATTTATGTCAAAAGTGATTTAATTTAAATTTTTTAAAAATGTTTCTTCCTATTTCGATATATTTTATTCGTTATATTAATTTTCTGATTTCAAAACATATATTCTTCGGAAAGTGCGATTTTTAAATGAATGAATTTTCTCTATAAGCTTGGGCAATAAATCTGATTTGAGATTATAATCATCTCAGCGAATCTTTCCTGAAGAATTTATTTATAGTTTTAGTTTGTCGATTTACTTCATGTCTTATAAGATTTGTACTTTTATAAATTTTTGAAATGTTTACTCATAATAAATAAATAAATAAGAAAAAAATTAATTATTTCAATAATGTTTAGGCCTTTTCTTTGTATGAAGAAGCAATTCCAGATAGTCGTGGTCAACTAGTGGCTCTCAATTTAATTATAGGTCCGTTGTTTTTCATTTTTAATTAATTTATATCTCGCAAATTTTTTAAAAATTTTCAGGCACCTTACAGAAATTGCATTGTTTCACCGAAGAAAATCATTCTCCTTTAAGAACCCAATGTGCACATGCATCCACGAAATTATTGAAGAAAATTGATCAGTGTACAGCAGTTTGCTCAGTTGTAAGCCTTATTTTTTATTCATTGGATTTATCAAATTATTTTCCATTATTTGATGCATTTCGAACACTTATAATTATTATTATTTATTCCTTATTCTTCTTCGTTTATTCGTTCATTTAATGCAGGCTCATTTATTTTGGAGTGGGCATATAGCTGAGACCGAGGGACCAATGCATGATTCATCTCAGGTATGTTAAAATTTCGTTTATTTGGTTATATTTTTGAGTTCGATATAATCGGATTTTCTTCTTCTTTTAAATCCGATTACAAATTCATTTAATAAATCGAACGATCATGAGATTGTCCCTCTAAATATTTATTATTAATTTGAGAAGATAGAATAAATTCCCATTCCTTTATTCGGAAAATGATATAGAAGCAAATTTTCGAACTCGATTAAAAATGCCAATCGTTCCTAAATATTTTAATATTTTATTGGCATCATCAATATCAATATTTGTGATCAGTGATAGGTTATAATATTTATAAAATATATGTACTTATCATAAATTTTCTGTCGTTATTTTATTCTTATGTTTCTCGTTTTCTTTTATGAATCTTTCATTCGTTTATTCTTCTTTCATTTATTCGTCTTTTTTGTTATCATCTCTTTTTTTGATTATTTTAACGCCAACAAATGGCGTTGTATTTTTCACTGCTTCTTTAAAATAAAGATGATTAAGGTAGTTGCTTGTTTGAAAAAAGCATCTCGTGTTGTGTCGCAATGCATGGAGCCTTTGGTGCAGATTCAATATTCAATCACAGTTCTTAATCATTATCTTTATTTTTACGAAGATAAATGTGGCCAGGTAGATTTGAAAATATATTGGATATATAAAAATATATCTATGATTCAGTTAATGATGGAATTTTTCCACATTCTGCATTTGCCAGTAATTCGCTTTCAAATATTTAATTAAAGAAAGTATATCTTTGGTTCATTTGGGAAATTTCTTTCGCTCGTCAAATACTTTCTTTCTCGAGTTTCTTATCGATCATATTTGTTATTTTATCATTAACATATCTTTCCATCGAAATTTAAATATTTTTTTTTTGCTCGATTTATGATAAAGAATCTAAAATTATACAGCAGAAATTACTTTTTTTAACATTTCAATATTAAGATTGCGATTGAATTGTTGAATCAGTTAATTGCGAAAATAAGAGAATCGATCATTCAGTTGGAACAATCAACTGATAACGATATCGTCACTACTTATTTTACGGTTTTTTAGAATCATTTTCATAGAATACGTCTTTTAAAACGAAAAATAGTGATCATAGAGAGGAATAAATAGATATATTTATAGAAATAAAAGAAATAGATATATTTAAAAATCTATTTAAGCGAAGGGTTCAGTGTGATATTTAACAATGTTTCTTAATAATATTTCATCACTAGAAATTCTTTCTTTTTTTTTCAGCAAACAATCAAACATATCAGGGACGCATCAGAAGCTGATAAGGATTCAATTTATGATGGAATAGTTTTATGAGAAATTATAGCACCAAAAATTCTTTGTAGATCTGCATTATCTATGATTTTTATCATATTTGTATATTTATTCGGTTATATAAACGAGGATTTCGTTAGCCCCTATTGTTATTTTTATGATTTTAATTAATTTCCTTGATCATCTTTTAAGCTGTTTTAAAAAGAAAGAATCATTAAAAGAATAATTCTGCGTTAAATTACTAAGTTGATTGGGTGGGTTTTATTTTTGCCAAATTAAATGGTAAGATTATCAGTTTTTTTACACTTTTTTAAAATCAGTTTTATTCTCATCAATTTTATTCTTACTTTTCAACAAAGATTTATTTTCAATCTTGTAATTATGAAATCGCAATCAGCGCATTATCACGTGAATTTTTCGATAAATAATATTTCAGTGATGAAATTTCGATTAATTTTTACAATTAAATAATACTTCCATATTGTGAAAATTTATATTTTTAATTCTTTTTTTGATGATTTTATAATTATTTTAAATGTGATTCACTGATGAATAGAATTGTTAATTTATTAAATGACAAAATAGAATTAGAAATTAGCGAAATAATTTCGTATTATTCGTAAAGACTCATATATTTTTTGGCCAATTCACTTCTCTTTTCATATTTATTCATTATTTTTTATTATAGAATAATTTTCTATAATGTAATTTTCTAGTTTTTATTTTTATTATTATTGTTATTATTGTTTAAATTCTTTTGTAATTTTTTGATATTTTGAAAGTTTTATCAAGTTTTTTTATCATTAATTTATCATTTATCGATGAGATTATGGATTGAGTTTCATAATAGGTTTTATGTAAATTTAATTATCGATGAAATCTCTAATTATTTTTTTTTAGTATTTCGAATGGTATAATAGCGTAAATTAAATTCAATTAAATGTATGTATTTATGTTTTTTTGTTAAATATTTTTATTTTGTTCGGCTTAAATTCGAATTTATATTTTTTTTGTATTCGAAATACGACGCCTAAATTTATTAAATTTATAATTTTTTTAAATTTGACTAAATTTGACTAAACAGAAGAACAATTAATTTTCCTCAAAAATTTTTATAAAATTTTATAGAATAAAATAAAAATTATAAAAGAAATATTTTATTTTTTTAGATAAATAAACCTAAATTTATAAAAACCTAAATTTGCTTATTTTTTATGGTGGGAAAAGAAGACGATTCATGATAAAGGTTATATTGTAGGAATAGCGAAGGTGCAAAAAAAAAAGAAAAAACCGGATTGGAAGAGTTTAAAGGTGGGGGGAGAGGAAGGAAGGGGGAGAGGAGTGAAAACCGGAGAAAAGAGGGAATAAAGCTTTGTTATTTTTTTCCCTTTTTTTTAGTAAAAAAGAAGGAAAAAAACCGGATTTTTTAGGAGAAATTCGAACAATAGAAAATTTATAACAACAATATTCTTTTTATTCAGCTATTCAGCTATTGGTTTTATTAAATAATTTTTTTTTCATTTTTTTTCTCATATTTAATTTATAAATATTTAATACAAATTTATTCTTTAACCGTTTATCGCTTTTATTTGATATACAATTTTATAGTATTCAATTTTTCATTATTTTTATAAAAGAGGAATTTTTCTACTTTTTCTAAATTTTTTTATTTTTTCAATTTTTTCCACTTTTCAAGAAATTTTTCACTTTTATTTTATTCTTCTAATTAATATTTATCGTTTTTTGATTTTTGGTTGATTTCATTTTTAGTATAAGTGAGTTTTACTTGCTAAACCGTGTGATGGATGGCGTCAAAAGCGAGGTTGGCCAATCACCTGGACTGATACGGTCAGGAAAGATTTTGGACGTATAGGGGGATCAGCAATACATGAACTTAGACGATGGAAAAAGGAATGACTTCTATTATTACTAGCGATGGCGTCGGACCGGACAGCTTGGAGAGTCTAACTCTTGTGGCCAGCGGAGCCAGCCTAACCAGCAATGGTGAGAGTTGTTAGAAGAAGAAGAAGAGTTCTCAATAAATTAGCATTATTCTAGTAATACAGATAATAGAACAGCTGAGTGGATTGGTTGCTTAATTCCAAACGCCGTTTCTAAAGTTATATAGTAAAGTGTACTCCCTGCAGTAGTAAAGTTATACAAAAATACGGTTATAGCCATGCGAAGTGATATTTGTCCAGTGCGACAAGCCAATGCAGCGAGTATAATCAGTTATGATAAGAATTATTAAAATCCTCAGAATGGAACAATTCTGAATGGAGCAGTTAGCCATAAATAATATTTTTTTTGCCTCAAGTATCAAGTACCATCACTGATTAGAGATTAGTTGCTCGGAAGAAAGGAAATGATATTCCTATCTATCTCGCGATAAAGTATGGATAAAATTAGGTGCTAAAATCGTGAATTTTTTTTATTTTACTAAAGGATTTTTTTATAGAGATGGTTAGGCTTGTTCCGCTGGCTTTTCGGACTAGACAAATATGCTAGGGAGTCTCTTAGCGATAGAAATGCCGGTGAGTCGCCAGCATCATCCGGATTTTTTGGACGGTTTTGGACTGCTATCGAGAATAGAATTTTAGTAGAGGTGCTCTGAAATTAGCTCTAATCCAGAGTCATTCTACTCTACTTTGATTTTTATTTTATATAAAATTTCCGTATTTAAAAGTTCCATAGGTCAAAGGTGGCTCGGGACCATGTAAGAACAACCATTGCAACTTCTCACCATTTCATCTTGAATCTTCTTTAAAATCTAAAGACCTTTTGGCTACGGCCGTAGAACAATGATGGACCGTGCAAGTGCACCCATAGGCTTAGTCGACTGGCCGTAAAATGCCAGCGGACCCTATAATCTTACCAGGATGGCCGTATTTTATTTATTTTTGGTCCCTCATTTATCATTGGTATATAATTTAACAAGTGAATCAACAGTGCGTTCAAAGAAAAATATTAACTCAAAAAATAAATTTTGCAAATTAAATTCAATTGTTTGGTACCACAGCAAAGGGCATCATTAGCATATGCTTTTATATCTCGTTTTAATTTTAACTCATCATTTTTTATCATTATTATCACTTTTTCTTATCAGTCCGATTATCAATGTGTTTATCGATAAATTTGTTTATAAAAAAAATTGTTTTATAAAAAAAAATTCTAAATTTATTTGTTTTCAACATTTTAATTAAAAAGTTATAATTAAATATTAATAACTGCGAAATCGAAATAAATCGTTAATAATAAATTTTTCTAATTTTTTAATTCTAATAGGTAATTCTCTCGAATAAAAATCACCACGGTAACGTATTGGTTTTAATTACTTTTAAAAAAACCGATTTTCACCATTTTCTTTTGAATTTCTTATTTTTATTTATTATAAAATTAAAATTATTAAAAAATTATTCAATAATATAAAATAATTTAATTTTTAATTTTTTATTTTTTTATTACTAATTTTATTTAATTTATTTTTTTCATTATTTAATTTATTTATTTTTTTTTTAATTTTAATTTTTATTCTATGATTTACTAATTTTTTTTTTGTTTAGAAAGATTTCGTTTTTTTTCCCAATTTTAATTTTTAATCTATTAATTTATTTTAATTGATTAATTTTTATTATTTTAGTTTTAATTTTAGATTAACGAAAGAAGAAGAAAAAGAAAAACTAAGCGAGATTTTCTATTATTTTGTGCGCGGGCGGAAGGCCTCCGATTTCACTTAATAAATTCTCCAGAAATTTCTCTTTTTTTTTGGTAATATTTTTAATTATTTTCGCAGACAATGTTATCAGTGTTATCAGTGAGCCACCAATGTACTTTCTCTCTCTGAAATAATAGTTGTTGATGCCTTATCAACATCCTCGCTTCATTCACCGATCTTTGTTGATTATTGTTTATAATTGTTGATAAGTTAACCAGTTGGCTGCAATTTTTGTATATTTAATATATTTTTAGTTATTTTTATGATTCATTTATGTTTGTTTTCATTGTTGTCTTATTTTATTATTTACTTGATTTTTATAATATATTTTAAGAATGTTTAATTTTATTTTTATATTTTTTTAAATAAAATATAATTTTTCCGTTTCTGGAAAAATTTTTTTCACTTTTTTTTAGAAATATTTTTAATTTTTTTAATAATATATTTTATTATATTTATATTATTATTATTATTGTATTTTTTTAATATTTTTTTTGAATATTTTTATTTTTTTTCGAAATATTTTTAAATAACTTATTTTTTTTAGATGGCATCAAATGCAAATTAGCCAGCTGCTATTTGATTTTGCATTAAGCGGATTGGTACCGTTCGCTTTTTTCTCTATCGTTTTCGTTACTGGTTTATATTTACTTCATTTGATCGCGATATCTTATGCGTAAGTTATTTAGCTACTTATTTAGTTTTATTTATTTTAAATCTATAAAAAAAAAACCCCTGGATGGGTGGTGGTCATCCCTCAATCTCGAGTCTTCTAAAAAAAGGTCTGAGAGATTTAAGGTTCTGCACGTTATTTTAACTGTTCCTAGTATTACGTTGTTCTGGATAGGGATGTCTGATGTTGTTCGTAGAATCTGCTGAAACCACTTTTCTAGTTTGTGGGTAACAGTTCTAAGTGCTCCAATTATCACTGCAATTACTTTGGCCTTCACTTTGCACATCTCCTCTAATTCCTTTGTCAAGCCCTTGGTATTTTTCGAACTTCTCATATTCCTTCTTTCTTCCTGTCACTTGGTATTGCCATATCTGTCACCAGTACTGATTTCTTATTTACTATCATGATATCTGGTTGATTGATCAGTACTTGTTTTCTTGTTTAGATGAGGAAGTCCCAAGAATCTTTCCCTTACTGTCTCTGCAATTTTCGAAGGAACCTCCCATTTAGTCTTCAAAAGATCTAAGCCATATACCCAGCACATATTCCTGTTGATGTTGTCAGCTATTTGGTTATGCCTTTTAGTGTATGTTATTCCTGTTATATGTTATTCCTAATATATATTATTCCTGTTTGCATTTTTCATCCTACCACTATGTGTTGGACTGCTTTTGGGGCGTTTTTGTACGATTCGCACGAAGAATCCTGGACATATATATATATATATAAAATTTTTGCTGGATTTTTACCAAATTAATTCTGGTTTACTGTCGTTCAGAAATCAAATCTATGTACTATTTGTCCTCATTTGCCGCAATTTGTTTTCACCGCTTTCCCCGTGGAACTTTTCAGTGTTCAATTTTATTCATGTTCAATTTTCTACGCTAATGATTTTTTAGAAAATGCCATTTGCATCGCAATCTTATTGCAAGCAACGAATTTCCGGGTGTTTCAATTATCAAACCTCTTGTGGGAACTGATGAAAATCTTTTCCTTAATCTGGAAAGTTTCTTCAAGCTCAATTATCCAATGGTATTTTTTAAAGAATTTTCTTATATTGACTTCTAATTTCAATAATATAATATAATCTAATATTTTATACTAATATTTTAATAATAATACTTTTCAATAATATTAATATTTTAATTTAAATATACTTTCAGTATGAATTGTTGTTCTGCTTGCACAGTGATAATGATCCTGCTCAAAAAGTTGTTGAAGCTTTAATGTTGAAACATCCTCATATCGATGCTCAAATATTTATTGGTTTGTTGATCTATTATGCAAGTTTATTTTCCATTTATTTTTTTCGTTTTACTTTTATGAAAAGATTGCTGAATAAGCAGTTTTTTGGTTCGTTGTCGTATTCGGCATGGTTCAGAAAAACGTTCCATACATTTTTCATAAGCTTTTAAAATAATTTTATGGATGGAATTATAAATTTTGTTGATAAATGATAAATTTTTTTTAATGGTTATTTCAGGAGGCGAAGATGTTGGAATGAATCCGAAAATTAATAACATGATGCCAGCTTATAGAGCATCAAAATTCCCTTTAATTCTTATCAGTGATAGCGGAATATACAGTTAATTTTCCTTCTCTTTTTTAGCTCATTGCAATCCTTTTTGGAATTTGTAGAATTTTCTATAGTAAATTTTTTTGAAAAGTTCCATTTCACGAATTTTATGAAAATTTGTAATTAATATTTTCTGTCGTGATTCTTTATTAATTAGTTTATAGTTTCTTTATTAGTTTATTTTTTTTTGCTCTATGATGAACTGAAAACAAAAATATAAATTTTTGGAAAAAATTAATAGATTTCAGTGAGAGAAGATGCATTGATGGATATGGTTATAGCGATGAAAGAAGATGTTGCTCTGGTCACTCAGATGCCTTTTTGCATGGATCGTTTTGGTTTTGGTGCTAATCTTGAACAGGTTATTCGAAATAATTTTTGTTTGTGATTGCTACTACTATATATACTATGTACTATTACTTTTTCTTGTAATTTGTTTAATTTATTTTTAAAATTTTGCATTTTTAGTTAATTCTCAAGCTTTCTAGTTTTTTTGAAAGATTTAGTGAAATCCATTTTTAGGTCTATTTCGGGACTAGCCATGCACGTATCTATCTTGCTGCGAATTGTCTTCGAATCACTTGCTCTACTGGAATGTCATCTTTGATGCGAAAAAATTGTCTTGAAGAAGCTGGTGGGATGGAAAAATTCTCCGATTTTCTTGCAGAAGACTATTTCTTTGGTGTAGCATTTAAGAAAAGGTTCATGCTAGCCACTTGTGAATTAGATTTCTATTTTTTTTTTTTATTGTGTATATTATAGAATATATTAGTGTAATATATTACCAATTGGTTTTACTGGATTATTCAGTTAATTGATAATATATGTTAACAGTAATATCATCGATAAAAAGAATTTATGAAAAATTTTTATTTTTATCAAATATTAATATTTAGAGGATGGAAAATAACGATGTCAAGTCTTCCTGCTTTGCAAAATACGGCGAATCCCGATCCCAACAAATTTCATAGTCGAATATGTCGGTGCGTTCTTTTTCCATAATTTATGGAAAAATGACTCGTTCATTTTTCATTTTTTTCAAATTTAACAAGAAATCTGTTATATTTTATAGGTTGTCACATTTATGGTTTTCATATTCAATTTCTTAACTATTAATTATTAAAAAGTTTGTTTTTTTTTCTACAGGTGGATAAAACTACGTTTCGCAATGTTGCCTCATACGATTTTATTGGAACCTCTGCAAGACTGTTTTGTTTCGGGTCTTCTTGGATGTGGTTCCATTTTGATTTTATTACCTACATATCCTACTTTAGCAATGTATTTCTTCATTTTTCACCTAATCTATTGGATTGTTTGCGACTATATTCTTATCCGAATTGTACAGGTGATAAATTCGACCATTTATTTTCATACTTTAGTCCATCAGTTGTCAGTTGAACATTGTTAAATAGAGTAAAGTGTGAAAGTAATCGAAAATTTTACTTCGTTTTCAGAATGGGCCATTACCATTTTCTTTTGCACAGTTTCTCTTTGTGTGGTTGTATCGTGAAGGATCAGCATTTCCAACGTGGTGTAGTGCCTTAATCAATCCGACAGTTAAGTGGAGATCAAGTGCTTTCCGCTTACTTTGGGGAGGCCGAATTCAAGAGCAATCGCTTCCAGTAACAAAATGGCTAATACATTAATGAACAGTTGATATATTGGTGGAAAAAAAATGATCTTTTCAATCAGTCTAATGTCCATTTTAATATTTAATATATATTCATATTCATAATAATCCTCCCTCAGATTGCAATTGATCAATTCTTAAATTACTGGTAATTCAACGTTTATGTAAAAATATGAAAATTGTCTAGATAAAGTGTAAAAATCCCCCTCCCTCCAAAAACCTGTCTGATCTCATAAAACTTGTCTCTTTTCTCTCTTTCTATTTTCTTTTTCCCCTCGTAAAAATACAAATACAATACAATTCGTAAATTTGCTAAATGTTATTCCATCCAATGAGTTTTTATTATTGTTTTTCTATATGTTTTTTTTATTTGCCTAAATTTATTTTATTCCTCAATTAACATAAGGCTTTATGTAATTGTAATTATACAATTTTTTGTGCCATATGATAAAATCAATGTTATTTTTTAGGTGATATTTTTTTTAGGAAATTTTTAATTCACACTATTTGGATATAAGTTAATTAATACGATTAGTAAAAAATTTCACAAAATTTATCCATTTTGTGGTTTATATATATTTATATTGTTAATATATTTGTTTTGTTCTACTTTTTATAATTTTATTCTAATTTTTTTTTTTTTGTTATTTCGCCTTTAATATTTATTTGCCTTATTTATTTATAGAATCAATAGTCAATATATTTATTCATTTATTTTACGCTCAGATTTTTTTTTTTCTTATTTGTTTATTATTATTTCTATTTTTAATAATTTTTCATCTTTATTATTGCCTTGAAAAAAAATTTTGCTTTTTTTTCAATATTTTGAAGGTTGTATGTGAAATTTTTAAAGAAGTAAAAAAAATCTAAAAATATTTTTTATATCTTTGAAGTAACATAATTTTATATTTGTATATACGTGTCGATGTATTATTGAACAGCCTACCCATAGATATGACACCAAATCACCTCAATGGAAAGCGCTTTCTTCTAAATTAATATCATTCCAAATTTTTTTTTTAAAAGTGATTTTTTTTTTGAAAGTGTAAAGTAAAATTTTTTTCTTTAAATATTTTTATATATATTTTTATATTATATATCGAAATATATTATATATTTTTAAACATTTTTCTTTAAATATTTTTTGAAAAATTTTTTCCAAATTATTCAATTCTTTACGATGCAAAATTCCGATAGTATTTATTTATTATTAACGATATAAAAAAAGTATAAAAAAATTTTATGTGTTTATTGCTGGAAAAAATATGAACGTAAATAAGAGAAACAATAAAAAAAAAAGAAAAAAAGTTTCAATGAATCTTTTGTAACGTTAGAAAGATGATAAAATGAAAGACAAACATATTGCACCGACAAGTATAATCTAATAATGACTTCGAAGAATGACTTCGAAAAACTATTCTATTCAATTCGGATCGATAGAACCAATTTTATTTTATCTATTATGATTTGGAATAATAAATAATTTATTATTATATGTTATTAAATCTGTATCTGTTACTGTCATGAGCCATAGTAACAAAAGCTATTCCACAAAGTATTGATAATAGACCAAACCACCACAAAGCCGACTGAACTTCTCCAAAAAAAATAATTCCAAAAATACCCTGTAAAGTCAAATAGATTTTAAATTGAATTTCAAAATTGAAAAAAAAATGACAAAAGTAAAAACCAATTGAAATTAACATAGACAAATTAAAGTAACTGAAATATTAAAATAAAAAATACCGTAAAAATAAAATTGCTTCCCGTATTGATAACAACCGGCTAAAATAGATAATTATCAATCGAAATTAAAATTTGTTTACAAAAAAAAAATTAAAAGGAAATTTCATGAATAAAATGATAAATAATAAAAATTTAAAATTAAAATTTTTGGGAAAATAGCAGTTGATTTTTGAAATATCTAAAGAAACTAGACTGGCTAAATTCACTTAAACCAATATTTCACTGAAAAAGAATAGCAGTCACATCGATAATCGTTGATAAGGCAAAAAAAAATATGGTGTGAAAATTTAAAAAAGCTAAGAAACTAAAAATTTGAAATTTTCAAAAAATTTTCTTATAATTTTCTAAATATTTTAAAAAATATTTTAAAAAATTACCCGTAGAGTAGTTGAAGATAATTGCAGTGATCTGGTGTGAAACGACAACATTATAGCACTAACCAAAAAATATGCAATCAAACCAAACAAAAACGATACCTGAAATATTTTAGAATTGCCATAAATTAAACCATATACGAATTAAAACAGACCAAGAACCAACTCATAATTGAACTAAGATAATTCGGGAAATAATTCGCAGTTCAACTAAAATAAAATAGATCGGAAAATAGCTCTTAAATGAATTAAAAGAATTAAAAAATTAAATCGAAAAAAATCTAAAAATTGAACTAAAATGAGTCCAAAAACAAAATGATTTACAAAAAATCCCTCGTCGCTCACCACAAGGGTTGACATATATTTCACTGCTTTCTAAACCCTGTGATGAATGGCGTCAAAAGCAAGATGGGTCAATCAAAATTTTGAATGATTTTGAATGACACGGTGAGGAAAGATTATGAACATTTAGGTGAACCACTAATATATGGACTTAGACGGTAAAAAAAGGAATGGCTTCCCCACTGTTGATGATGGTATTAGAACAGTCTTGGAGACACCTCACTCTTATAGCCAACGCAGCCAGCAATGGTGAAAATTATTTAGAAGAAGATTCATGAAAAAAAGGAATTTTCTAGCAATTATTTATCAGTTTACTAATTAACTCACTGAAAAATGAAATTTATGAAGAGTTTGTTTAGCAATTGATGCTGATAACGCTGCACAAAATCCGGCAATAACTGAACATACAACAACTCTATCCACCATTAAATAAATCCAATTAATTGATCCTGTAAATTTATATTGATTCCTTATGATGCACCGTCTTTCCATGTGTTAATCCAGCCTGAGATCCTGCAGCAAGCAGCTGGTTCACCCATGCTGCGGCTGCTAGGCGTTGCTAACATTTCTTTGGCCAACATCCGGACGAGGCGCTGTATCTGTAGAAATTTTTATGCTTTTAATTCGTTGTTGCATATTATCTAAAATTGTATTGGTAATTGTTCTGAAAAAACTGAATAATTTATGTACATATTTTTAATATTTTAAAAATATTTTTATATTACTAATTTTTTATATAATTATATTGGCTCTAAAAAAATGCAAAAATAAGGGCCCTAAAAATAAAGGCCCTAGAAAACTTACTTACTATTCATTTATAGCACTAATCCAATCGAACGTAGGTTTATAGCTGTTATTTGATATAAAATAAAAACAAGGACTGCCTTCCAAGAGGAAACTTTAGTACCAATCTCCTAAGGAACAAGCCTGAACCAGAGCTTTACTATAAAATAAATACAACACCGGGTTGAAACCAAACCAGAAATGGTGTGCATTTTTCGAAAATACTCGATAAAACTTGGCTGCGGCCATGGAGAATCGGTAACACGGCCGATCGAGTAGTTCGTCTCAAAAATCATCCATTTATAATAAAATCTGCCATTATGGGAGCAATCTTTTTACTGTTTGGACTCTCTTTGCCTCGATCAGTTGGTACTCGAATTTTTCGGAAGCAGATCAAATGGAATTCCAGATTAGCGCTCCAAAAATGAGCTACGACCCAATGAACCATTCTGTCTGCTTGGAATCAATTTTATGAAAATAAAACGAGTTTCATCTGATATGCTCGTTTCTTTAAAAATTTTATCAATTAATCGTTTAATATTAAATATTAAATAATAAAATAATATTTATAAATTATTATTAGAAATTTAGAAACTTTGGAAGAATTTAATATTTTTCATTTTATTTTATTAATAATTATTTTCTTTTAATAAAAATATGTATTTCCCACAATTAATTACGAAAATTTCCAAATTATCAGTGATGAAGGCTTATCAATAATTTTCAATTGAAAATTAATTAATTTTAATGAGTGCATCAAATTTTTATCATTCATTTTTCTTTTTTACAAAGAAGAAATATTTGATGAATTTAATATTCAATGATAAAATAATTTATCTTTAATTAATGATAAACTAAAATACAAACATAATATAACGAAATATATCGAACAATTAAACTGAATTTATGTTTTGAGGGAAATAAGGCCCATAAGAATTGTCCTTTCTACTTTATTAGCTAATTTTCAAGCATACTGATAAAAGATTGATAAAAAAAATTGTAAGCGATAAAAAAGTCTGAATGAAACTGAATGGTTTAGCCAGTAATTATCATATTTGTAATATTTGTCTCATTTACCATTATTATTTGAATCCCCTAAATTATTGTTGCCTTTGAATGATGAAAAGGAGTCTTAAAGATCAACGAAACTTTCTCTAGGAATCTTATCAAGTTCAATTGGCCCATTTCTTCATTCATCATCGCTACCATCCCATTCACAACGAGCACTCCAATCCGGGTCGTACCTTGGTTTCGCGCTGAGATTCTCCATCTCCAATAATTCATGTTGATAAATTTTATTATATTTTATTACAATAGTAATAATACTAATGATAATAGTAATGATAATGATAAGAAGAAATTCACTGATAATAAATAATTTATTTAGATTAGCGATCTTCGATTAGACTGGCAATAATGATTATTTTATGTAGTTTATTATATTCTTTCTGAAATTATCTTAGGTGGAAAATTTGATAAATAGTTCAAAATTTTAAAAAATGTTACACTTGAGGGTCCATAGATTTTTACGACATCATTTAGGACTTCCTAAGCCCGTAGAAAAAGATATTTGACGATTATTGAGATTTATTTTTCATAGATGATTTGTTTCATAAGACACAGTAGACCCAAAAAATGAATTTTTTAAATTTTCCTTATCACTTACCTGACATTTAATAATATTTTCAATATCCTTTAGACATGGCTGATATGACAGAATACTTTGTAGGTCACAAGTTGGAACATCGCCCTTACAAAAACTAAGGCAATCCTTGTGTACACCTAAAAAATTTGTGAGAATATGAAGATGATAATTGGTCCGGAAAAAGTTATACTCAATTTCGTACAATATGTACAATATTCATGAGCAGTAAAATCCATGGTTGAAAACCATTAGAAGAAAAATATGAAAAAATAAAATTTTTTGAAATTTGATGTCACCTTTATTTCTGCAACATTCAGTATTGTCATTAGCATCAGCGGCACAATATGCCCAAGTTGTTAATTGAGATACACATTTGTAGCCAAGACCCGTACTTAACTGCAAAGATAAATGATAAGAAATTCTTCTACATATAAAAAAATGATAAATGCCTAATTAATTTTTTAGTATAATCAGCTGAATATAATACACAATAGCTTACTTCTTGTACAGTTGTATTATACCCGCATAATGGTAAACAGAATGCCATTTCCTTTTGACCAACACGACGACAACAAGTTTGTATTCGAGTATGATGCACAATTTTACATGAGCAATCGCAACTTTTCTTTAATGCTTGAGCCTTCAAACTGTTACCATAACATGAACCCTGAAGTTGTAATTTTTAAAAAATAAATTTAACAACCATAGGTCTCTTATCTTCCAAGATTCAAATACTGAGGAAAAAATAAATAAAATGATGAAGGTAAGATAGATACCGTGTTGTTCCATCTCAAATCTAGTATCATAGGTTTGGTTCTTACTCGTTGGCAGAACGAAAACCTGTCTTTAAACTTGAAATTAGAGTGGATTCATACTAGCAGAAAAACAAAAGACTATATTTATCCTAGTGGTCACTGGAGCTAACAAAATGGAAATGGTAAGCATTGTTAGAAAATGATTTGATTAATAGTTCTCATTGAATAAGGAAATATTGATATTCTGATAGTGTTTCAAGAAAAAGAATGATAATAGACGATGTCTACAAGAATATCAATAACTATTTATTTCTCAATATGCCACAAAATAGGTCAATTTTCTTATCATCTAAATAAGATGATATGAGAATTCATACGAACTATTCTAGAAATTTTATAAATTCAACAATTTTTCATAGCTTTCTGTTTTTTTCTGATAAAATTGTTCATCATCGAAAAAAATGATAATTTTTTATAAATTATTTGAAGAAACTTTTTTTATTATTTATGAGAGTTTAAAAGGGAAAATTTAAAGAAAAGTAGAATGAGAAATTTACTCCAATTCTAAATTACCTTCAATTTATAAAAATTTTTAGCATAACTAATAATCAATTAAATTTATAAAAAAAAAAATAGTAAAACATAAAAATTATGTCAAGCAATAAACGATTAAAATATAAATGAAACATTGTGATAAGAAATTGATAAAAAATTGATAACAAATTGATAGTAGCTTTGTCTTCTTTTATTTAAGGAAATAAAAATTAAGAAAAGTGAATGGAAAGGTTTATTAACGATATCCCTTGAGCGTATTGCCTATTCGATAATATTCTTTTCTTCCTAAATGGCTCTATAAGGAAGAAGTCAAATAATTCTAAGAAACAAGACAGAGTTAACCAAATCAAAAGTGATAAAGTAAAGAAGATTTTTTCATAATTCGGTCATTGTGGAACTATGAAGAACGAGTTCACAAGTTGTAAGTAATAATTTAATTTTGATAATTCACTGATAATTTTGATAAAAATTCTGCCAAATTTATAAGTTTGAATAATAAAAAATTAAATATAAATTCGCGCTTACTTTTAATGCTTTTTGAATACAAATTGACCGCTCGTTTGGACAAAATTTTATTATATCTTCTTGCGATAATTGAGAATTATAAGCGTTGCCTAATATTAAAACGATAATTAACGGCACTAAGTTCATCGCCATTCTTGGTTAAACACTTTTCAACTGAATCATTTTAAGGGTTATCGGTATTTATGCATGATAATCTATCTTTAATGATATTTATAAAGAAATATCCGTAAAGAAAAATTTACGAATCGCTTTGGTCGACCTCCATTTTTCGATAATTCTTCATTTTTACAAAATTCTTCGATATTCTTTTTATATTTATAAATGAATAAAAATTATTACATTGAAAATAATTATTATGGTAATATTTACTAAAAATTTTTTGTTGAAGATAAAATATAATCATTTAGAATCGTTTATTCGTTACATATTTTACAAGAAAAGTTCCAAAGGTTTTCCTTTCCCAAACTAAAATTTTGTTTTAATTTTTATTTTATTTTATGCAGAAACAATTTCGAATAAATTGCCTATTGAGTTTATATATTTTCTGCTCATTAAATATTCAAAAATTGGTAAAAAAAAAATATTATTGATCCATGGTACTATTTAGCAGAAAATACATCCTCAGTATATTTTGTCTTATATAATAGTTTTTTCGTTGCTATCGTATTCTATCAATATTATGCTTGCTACTGTCATTAACATAGGCGTTTGGCTATTGGTTGACTATCTTCTAAATATAACTGAAACAATAATTATTAAATAATGCTAATAATAATAAATAGTAATAAGTAATATTAATTATAATGATTAGTAATAGTCAGTAATAATTGATTATAATGATAATGAAAATTAATGATATTTTTACTATCGATAATCGATATTTGTCACATCGACAAATATTGGCAAATGTAAGGCAAAATGAAATAAATTTTTTGCAAAATAATTTAAAAATAATTTTTAAAATTATTATTATCTTAAAATTTAATAAATCTGAGCAAAGCAAACAATATATAACTTAATGACTTTATTGAATTAACGAAATTCCTTACATATTCCAAAAACTGGAATGAAAACGAGAATTTACTTTCCAGGCGATCATTTCTTTTTAAATTAATAAATCCTTAATTAATTTCCATATTTTAAAGTAATCTTTGGGATTTCGACAATTTTTAATGAATGTTATTTGTTTAAGGAATAAATCACGATTGAAGAAAAAGCGAAATATCGAAAATCCTAAAAATTTCAATGGTTCAAATTTTAAATTGCCCTTAGGCGAATGATGGTTAAATTATTTTTTATTAAATTAATGAAATTAATTAAATATCTATAAAGCGCAGATGTTTTATTCTTCATTTTATTTGCTTATTTATCAAAAATTTTTTCATGGCAATAATTTAGCAACGACAAAAAAATGCAATGAAAATATTTGCACCACTAATCCTAGAGCCATTACTATTGTAGCCAGTGGAGCCAGCCAAACCGGTAATGATGAAGGCTAGAATAGTTAGAAAAAGTACCAATAACCCACGACGAATCTCTTCTTCATCTACAATATCTTTTCTTTGCTATTATAGATGCTCTTCCTCATTCTGCTTTGAGCTAAATTCGTTCTGTTGTCCTTCGAGAATTTTGTTAAGAAGCCACTTAGCTATAGAAATACGACTAAGTCACCATCATCAAATGGATTTTTGAGTTGAAAATTTATTCCTAGCAGAAATAGAATCTCAGCTGCGGCGTCCCGAAATGACATCCTCTCTTAATTTTGCTTCACTTATATAAATAATAGAATATTAGAATATTTTCTATTAGTAATATTATAGTAATATTATTATGTAATATTATTTTCTTCGAAATAATAATGGGAAATAGATAGCGTAAAAGGCTATGAGGCTTCTCGATTTATGCTTGCAGTCATTCTTGTATTGCAATTTTGCTCTTGGCAGCATTTATGGCACCAAACCTTGGCCTTTTTTATATTAATATGTAAATACATTACTACTAATACTAAGCATATCTTTAAAAAAAGAACCCATCTTTCAGCCTCTCATATTTTTCTAATGTCTGATATATGACTGAGTACTCAGACTACTCAGAGTTTAAAGATTTGACAAAAAAAACGGTATGATTGTGGAACTTTGTAGAAAATGAGAATTCAAATAAAAAAGGAAATTTTGGCAATAGAATATATATTTAAAATTTGTTTTTCATTTTGCCATTTAAATAAATTTTAAAAAATTTTAAAAAATTTCATTTAATATTTTCATTAGTGGAGTTTAGATTTAGACGAACTAAAACTATAGTTACCAGTCTGCGATCAAAAATTTTCAAGTGGGATTTCAGGATTCTATGCAAAAAATGAAATGAAAATTGATTAGCTTCTATAACTTTAGATTTAGAAGTCCCTTAAAAATGGATTATTCTAAATTTTCTAATGAGAAGAAAATTATTCAAGTGCTTTTCCATTATATTCTTTTTTTCATTAAGCCAGTATTTTTCGAGCCAATGACATATGACATAAGCGTATTCGAAATAATAATTAAGAAAAAACTTCTAAGAAAATGAAGCGAAACGCACTTAAGCAGTAGGAGTTTTTTTCTTCAACTATTATTTCTATGAAGTAATGCGAAAATAATGATCAAAAATTGGTAATATAAAGAGATCTGATTGGTACTTATCATATTAGTAACTAACTACCTATCTTCCGAAAAGCAGCCTTACAAGTTTTACTTTAGCTAAAACGAGCTGAACATCAATTTTTTTCGAGACTATTGCCCAATCAATTGGTGATAAGGATTTGCATTGATTTATTAATAAATTTTAGATCATAACCATTAATTATAGTGTTCATTTATTTAGAAATATTTCATTCACTTTAGCATAGTCAGTTAATAAATTTATATTTTAAATTGCACTGATATTGCCCTTAATCTTTGTGATCAGATTCCATAAGAATTCTTCACTAAAATGGTAGTTTTATAATTGATAAGAATTACTTGTGGTATCAATTTTTAAAAGTTTTATCCGTTTTACTTATCCGTTTATTTGGTTGTTACTTATCGATTTGGAATAAAAATGGAAAGCATGAGAGATAAAAAAAAACTATTTTTGAAGATTCTGCAATAAATATAGTTCAGAATATATAAGGCCCCATAAAATAAGCGTGCGTTCTTACAACCCAGTTAGTGATATGATAACAATTGTAAATTTGAATCCTACCGCATTGTGCTACTTTTGTGCAATGATAAGGGTGTGTTTTAATCAAAAATCTTTTCAATCGGCTATATTATATTGATAATTTAGTGATTATTATATTATATTTACATTATATTTTTTTATATTTATATTTTTTGTTATTACTATGTTTTTTTTGTGTCTTTTCTGAATAAGTTATTTGTTATTTATATTTCAACAATATAGCAAATATATGCTTTCAACGACATGGAATAAAATATTACAAATTAATTATGATAATAAATTAATAAATAAATGTCAAATATCGTAGATCAATCAATCAATAGAAATGATTAAAAGTCTAAAATGATGATAACTATATTCGTTTATTGTTGCGCCATTTTTAGATTTCCCGAATTTCCTTCTATGCTGAGGTTCTGTTCCCCACTGGGTAAACTTTCCAACAATTGAATATTGATTTAAAATTATTTTTATATATTTAGACGATTAATACGTGTATGTTCTGATGAACTTTTCACAGCAAGTATTCGTCGCGATAATTTTCCTCCTGAAAGAAAAAATTGTGCATTTTTCAAATTCTGCTTTTCATGTGATAACTCATGAAATATAAGATCAAAAAATTTTAACGCAAAATTTTTTACTGAAGTGAGTAAAAATTTTAGGAAAAACGATATAATAAGGCCATACAACTTGCTAGGAACTGCAATCATTGAAACAAAACTTTGTATATTAATTATATGAAACGTCGACAACTCTGGCTCATATTTTTTTCTGGAGTATCGCAAGATGCATATCTCGCCGTATAACAAGCCTAGATTTGGATAATAACAAAGGCGAACCCATTCAAGTCTTGCGATGATCAGAAGAGATTTTGACATAAGGCGATTGACCCAGCAGTATATAGACTTAAACAGCTAAGGAAACGGTTGTTTCCTTTCTGTTCTCGGATCTCGGAATCTCGGATAAGATATCGAATCAAAAAGCATAAAAGCTTCATCCTTATAGTCAGCGCTATTAACGAAACTAATAATGGTGCTTCCTTTATCACTTATCACTTATCATAAATCATCTCTTATTATAAATGCTATTGTGGGTTTGCTAGTTTTAATTAATTTTTAAGACAAAAAATTTATTCAATTATAAAATTCAATCATGCAAATTTAATGCAAACCCAAACATAAAATTACCTAAAATTCTCTTTAAAAATGCTTTTCGATAGTTTTTAGAAAGAATATTATATAATATTGGATTACACGCTGAATTCGAATAATAACAACAACCTGAAAAGAATAAAAATAAAATTAAAATGCAATAAATATGATCAAATGTTTATAATCGATCAAATTTCTTCATATTAATTTTTATATAAATTTTAAATTTTGGAAAAATAAAACCTTCAAAATTACCTGATATGTAAAAAACAGAAGTGAAAAGAGTCTGTAATGTAGTGTTCTCGCTGTTACTTTCATTTAAAAATACTGTTAATAGCCGCTGAATATGAAATGGAAACCATGAAAGGAAAAATACTGCGACAACTGCCACTGAAATATTCAAAATTCTAAAATGATTCCAACTGAACTTGAAAAATATTGAAAGAAAATAATCATAGAAAAAAATTTCTCACAATTTTGTTAAAATTTCACGTAATTTTATCAAAATTTCCCACAATTTTACTACAAATTTTATTTCATTTTGTAAAATGAATTTCATAAAAATATTAATTCTCACGAAAGCCACAAATAGCCATAACGACTTTGCTATATTTGTTTAAAGCCTAATGCCTTTTTAAAATTGAAATTTAATTTTTAATTTATATTTTGCCATTTGATTAATCAGATTTTGCAGACTTCTATATAGCAAATGTTAATCTATGGTGCAGCAATTGGTACTTTATAATATTGCTATTGGTACTTTTAAATAATTGGAAAAAAATTAAAACTTCTGATTGCTTCGATTAAGCGACACTTATCTAAATAATTAGTTATATTTATAATAATTATAAGGATATACCTAAGATTCGAATGGATTTCTTTGAGCGAATCGCTGAAATATCTTGTGGTCCTAAATATTTATTCGCAGACCTTAATTGTATTCCTATATGAGAATAAGCGCCAATCATTACTATTGCTAAATTGATAAAAATTGATAAAATTTTTTTTGTTTAGAATTTTTTAGGAAAAGTTTGAAAACCAAAACCAAATATAAATAATTAATACTTGATTAATTAATTGCTAGTATAAAAATCATTATATGGTTTATATTTTGTCTTTTCTAGTAGTATTCGATCTTAGTTTGGCTCGCCTTATTGGCTATCAGAAACCTCATGAAATGAAGCCTCATTTGATATATAGATAGACATAGATTCCAGCTTTAATTAAAAATTTATTCTCTTCGCAGAGTAGAAGTGAAACTCCATGCTTGACCTCAAAGAAATTATATCACTTTATCATCCTATCCTAACGGATATATTTTACATTCTATTATCATTCTCGAATAAAGTTGTCTATCCAATATCTCCATTAAATTTCAGACAAATTGACAATTTAGCATGACTTAATATATATATCAATTAAAATAAAATTGTTAATTTTGTAGATTTTTTTAAACTATTAATTGAATTTAATTTAAGAAAGGGAAGTATATTTTATTTGCAAAAAATTTATTCGTTCATTAATAGACCGTTTTTTATTTCAGTGTTGCAAAAAAAAAAAAAAAAATTAACATTAAATCAATAGAATCAACCTGGAATTAAGAAGAAAAGCGTAAAAGCGAAATAGATAATAAATTTTTGAGAATTTGGCTGATTAATATCCATTGCACAAAATTCCGTATTTATAATCGTAAGACCATCTCTGGAAACCTGTAACTTTTTCCGGACTATTTTTTCGCATTTGTCATTCGTTATCGTTTCGTTCCATAAATCTAATCAAATTTTGATTTCTTCAATACGAAACTTTGGATTTTTATATTGAAATACTTTTAATTTAATTCGTTATTTTAATGGATTGTTCTAAATAAATTCTAATCGAATTTTTTCAAACTTTCAACTTAGCATTCTCGTCAAAAAATAGTTTTTTTTTTTGTTTTTTAGAATTTAATAGAATACCTACCAAACGAGTCCAAGGGCGATTCATAGCGTCAGGAGGTAATAATACACGATTAACTTTTACAATAAATGCCACTGGCAAAGCGGCAATAAAAGCAATAAACCATACGACTGGAATTACTTTAAACGCGCGATCCAATTTTGAGAAATGCCTTGATCTTAGTGGAAGACTAAAATTATATAATATGACAAGCTGAAATCCTTATTTTTCCTTATTTTTCTAGTCTTCCTTCCTAGTAAATAGTACAGTCGATTTGTTTTGGCAATGAATTAGCAATAAGCAATTATTGTTTTTCATCATAGTGCTTAGAGATATCATGTGAAATGTAATGTTGTGGTCTCTTATCTCGGCTATAAATTTTCATTCCACTCAAAACGTTTCACATATACGAATACCTAAGCCTTTTTAAGCTTATAATCCCTTATGTTACGCTATAATTCCCTTAATATATCGGTTGTTATTTCCTCAAAATCTTTTTAAGAATAAAAATTACCATATAGCAAGCCAACGTTCCATGGTAAACGCTAATATTGTAAGTATTGATGCATACGAATTGAATTCAACTAAAAACGCTCGCAATTTACATACTAATGACCCAAATCTATATGGATAAATACTATTGAATAAATCATGTAATTCCATTGGTAATCCTAAATTTTTAAAATTATTAAAAATAAATACTTAATAATTTTTAGTTTAATTTTTAAAATTATTTTATTATTAAATACAAATTGTTAAATAATATTTTAAGGTTAAATACATTTTAAGCCTTAATTTATTTAATTTCACTTTAAATTTGATTTAATAGCTTAATTTTAAATTTAATCACATTCATTATTTTTATAAAAATAAATATGATATTATTTTTCCTGTCTGGATTCTGGATTTCTTATTTTTTTCCATCTGTTCTGTCTCGCTTTAATCTTTTTATCAATAAATTTTGCAGCAAATCAATCAATTTATCAACTAATCAATTTAAATTCAATTGCCATTTATTTAAATTGTCATTTAATTATTTATTGATTTCTTACTTTTTTTGATTTATTTGAATTATCTAAAAAAAAAAAAAAAATTTATGTAAAATTTGAATGAAAAAGAACGAATGAATAAATATTCCAATTACCGATTATAAGAATAAATAAATCGGATACAGCTAAACTAAATAAATAAAAATTCGTCGCTGTATGTAAAGTTTTATCATGAGCTATAACAACGCAAGTACAAATATTACCAAATAAGCCAATTAATAAAATTAGACCGTAGACAATAGCAGTTGGAACAAGTATGGATAACTGAAATTTAATTTAATCAATTGTTACCATAAGCTTTTACCATTTTTTCTTTTATTCAATAGAATGGATATTAAGTGAATGATTGCTAACAAAAAACCAAATATATCTTTGACTAAGCATGCATTCATTTCAATGAATGTCACTAAAAAATTAATTTGCATAAATTCCAATGTTTTAAAATTTGCAATTAAAAATTTTGCATAGAAAAAACAAAAAACTAACTACAAGGCAGCGTTCTCCCAATGTACTTAGTACGTACTCGGTTATATTAGGCACAGCATAAATAATTGGTGGACACGGACTGACGATCATCAAAAACAATCCGCTCTAAATACACCAGAATTCTAAAAGTTTAGTTGGCCAAAAAAATAAAAAACTTTAAGTAAATCGGTGCAAAAAAGAAAAACGCATAATTATCCCGAATAGCTGTGGCTAAGCAATGACAAAAAGGTGACAAAAAAAAAAAAAAAAAATTATGAAAAGAATTCGAAAGCAATTTATAAAATAAGAAAAATGCCTTAATTCTAAGCAATTATTCGAGTCAACAATATCAAAAATGGTGCAAAAGAAAAGACGAAAAGCGAAGCTTTTTCTTACCATTGCAAGTTCAGATTAAGTTAAACTAGCGAGTTTAAGTTTAAAGAAATTCACCACGTCGAAACAAATTTAAAAGTTTAACTCTTCATTTATGAAGATTTATAAGGCAATGGAAAGTCAAAAGCTTTAAAATTATTAGCCTACGCCTACAAATGAAAAAATATAAATAAAAGACCTTTGAAAAGTAGAATTATATTTGTAAATGAAAAGTCGATATTGCATTTGGCCAATAAAAAAAAAAAAATTACTGATGTTGCATTAAAATATTTGTAAAAAAATATTAAATTTTTGATAAATATTTGCATTCTTTGTTTATCAGATATTGAATGATAAATTAGCCGATAGTACTCGCCGATAGTACCAAAAAAAATATCTCCGAAATTTTAAATAATTTTTTAAAATTTGCAAAAATTTTAATAAAAAAAAACTTGTTGAAAGAAGAATTTTAAATAAAAGAGAAATTGCAAGAAATAGTTTATATAAAATCAAATTCAAAGCATAAAAATGCAATTAAAGTAAATTAAAGTTAAAAATAAAAATAGTGCAAAGCCATTTTAATAAATTATTTCACAATATTAAAAGAATTTAGAACTTTTTTTTTTTTAACTTTTATATTTTAAAAGAGAAATCAAGTCGAAAATCATTTAAACTAAATAAATAAAATTTCACTATTATTTCTATTTTTATTAAATTTTTCATAAATTATAAGGAACATGCAAATCGTTTCTAAATTTTTTAGTCATAAATCAGCTAAATTTCTAGAAATTATAATTTTATATATTTATTTATTTTGCTCATTTTAAAATTTATAATAAAATTCAAAAAATTTTCATTCTAAATTATTTCTTAAAAGAACCAATTAGTACGATATTTATTGAAATAAAGTGAGGGTAGATTTTTAAAAAAAGAGCAATTTTTTTGCGAAATTCATAGCGGCAAAATAAAGCTCAATGAAAATGATTTCTGAAAATTTCTTTCTCAAGGGATTCGATTCGAATTCGTAAAGAAATTCAAGAAAGATTTTCAATTTTTTGAAAAAATGCTTGAAAAATAAGTTTGAATTTTTGAATTTCAATTGGCTAAGTTGATGCAATATGTGTCGAAATTTTTGATTAGATTTGCTAATCAAAAAATTTTTTATAGGAAAAAAATAAATTAAAAAGGCAAAAAAAAACGAAAATACCAGTGGTGGGAAACCAAATTAATTAATTTACAAATGGTCACCAAGCTGTTTAATATTAGTTTTTTGATGAAAGTTGAATGAAATTTTAAAATTTTATAAAAAAATGGATGATGCAAAATTTTAAACTGCTTACGAATTACCATTGGTAACAATCTTACCATATTTTTATAATAAATTATAAATGCGACATTTCATTTTATTACAAATCTCGATAATGTGATTTTTTAAAATATATTTAATTTTATTTATTATTATTAATTAAGAAATTATAGAATTTCGCAATGAAATTATGAAATTATTCAATTTTTGAAAAATTACCTTAGAAAATTCAATCAACCATGGCGAAGGTATATCAAACAATTTCCATTTTCGAAGTAAAAAGTGCATGCAGCTAAAGGGTTTATACGTAGTTATATATAAATATATGTAGTTAGCATTAGATTCAATGAGAAAATAATCTTGAAAGAGAGAATCGAGAGTTGGAGTCTAATCCGGTAGGCGCATAGCGCTTCATTGGGCTCAATAAGTTAACTTGGAACGCTGATGCTGTTATTTTATTATTCTACTACCTGGAAGAGCAATCCTTTGAAAATCCAGGCGACTTATCAGTATTTCTATCGGCATGAGATTCTCTAGCATATTTTTATCTAAACCGACAAGCAAGCAAAACGATTCTAAGCACCAGTGATAAATGCTCTTAAAATATATATATATATAAAATATACAATTATATATGTGGTCATTCATTAAATGTATATAGATGCTTATGAAATAAAATTTTATTTTTTAATTATATAAATTTTATAAAAACGAAAATAAGTTTATCGAAGGAAAAATTTTAATAAAACCGTCCCTTGTCGGCCAGGAAATCCCTTACTGATAGAAGCAGTTTTTACTCTTTGAAATATCTTTGAGCTGAAATTGAAATTTTAGATTCGGCTGACAAGGACAAATATGCCATTAAAATCACAGTGCTGAAGATCCGCTTCTATCTCTATTCCTAAATGACTTGCTCATAAAAAATCTCATTTAATAGCGAAGAGAATAAAACAAAACAGAAATGGCTGATATTATTCTAGAAAAGAACTCATTTAACATCATAGATCCGTACTATCAGTGAATAATAAATTATTAACAACTACATTTCATATTATAACCGAGTGGCACTGGATGGAAATACATCTCAAATATCTCCTTTATAAGCGAATTTAAACCACTCAATGGGAATTCAAAACTGATTATTGCTGCTGAAAAAAAAAAAGAATGCTGATAATGAAAAATATATTAAAAAATATTAGTTGGCATTATTAGAAAGAAAAGCTCATTTTTACCTTTTTTTTCTTAATAAAAAAATTCTTAATCAGAAATTTTTATTTATTGCATATTCCAACTGAAAACTTAAGCACTTAGGAAAGTCGTTAATAAAAAGACAAAATCGCGAATAATCATCGCAAAATAGACATTAAATTAAAATTATCTGCAATTAAAATAAAAACATATATTAATAATTTTTTTAAAATGATCTAATGGTCTTTAAAGAAAATTCATATTATTAATATTTATAAATATAAATAATAAATATTTAGAAATATTTAAAATTCAATATAATTTTGCAATCAATTAATTTTTCCATCAGCTAGGACGATGAAGAAAATCATTTCTTTTTCTAATAGTTTGCACCATTGCTATTGTTTCATTGACGACTAAAGTAAAATATGAGTTTCCAGAATTCCAAATCCAACACCATTCTGAAGCCAAATCCACTCGTGTATTGTCTATATGTTCAAAATGTTCATCGACCAGTCCAAATCTTGATTGGCCCTTATCATTTTGATACCATCAAACATAAGGTTTAGCATAGCGAGATGTTATCAATTCCTCTGGTGGACGACGAAAATTATGGCCAAACCAGAAAGACGATGCTTTTTGACAATTTTTTAATTTAGATGGTATTTAATGGAAGCTGGAGGTAACATGAGGCGAATTTCCTAGTGAGTGCGAAGGAGTATCTCAGGTGAATGGCCTAATATAGATAGTTTCTTGATATCGCCCACTTTCACTGACCAAATTTCATAGTTGTATAACAGCCAGATAGAGGCGAGTTTTGATGATGTTATTGCGATAATTTTTGAGAGATTTGATTTTTGAGATTGAGATTTCGCCAGATGAAAAATTGTTTGCAGTCATTCTGGAAAATTATTGAAAAATTTAAAAAAAATAATATATAAACACAATTTACTATATTTAATATAATTAAAATTTGAAAATTTTTTTTTTAAAATTCAGTTTCTATTATTTCGAACAAATTAATCAACGGTCATTTTAAAATATTTTCGGTTAAATGATGGAATCGCCGCCAATTACAATTAGTTTTCATGAAATAAGTTAAATTTCATGAAAAAGCTATTGAATTAATTCCTTCGGATTTAGCAGAAAATTAATGAATATAAAAAAAATAATAACAAAAAAAATTAAGTAATTTGGCTTAGTACAATGATGATTTTTTTTTTTTTCGCATCGCCAATCCATTTTCTCTGCCATAAATCTTTTAAGTTAAATTTCAATTTAACTTAAAAATTTGTTACAAAAAATTCACAATTTATTAGTTAATTCGATAATTGTTGTTACAAATAAAAATGAACGAAAATAAGTGAAGAATTGCACAATTAAAATGCTCGAAAATTTCATTTCATTTCATTAATTTCAGCGTTGGAAGTTATGAAATTTTTCATTAGAAGTTTTAATTAACTTCTTTTTCTGGTTTTTTTTTCGAAAAATGGCTAAATATAATCCGAAACGTTTGCACATAAAAATAGCCAATTTGTTTAAATCGCGTAGGTGGTAAATTTTCCTTTTTATTATAAACGTTTTTATATTTAACGCTATTACACGTATGCATTTCGTTTACGCCATTTTTTTGACTATTTCTCGAAAGAATAGACATATTTCTCGTTATTTTGCTAAATCTTATGATGGATAGTGCTAAAGGCAAATAGGATTAATTAAGATTTAAATTTTTTTCACCACAATCCAGCCGAATGAGTAATTGTGCGAAAAGAAAATTACCTTTTTTATCCAATTAGTTCGATACAATTCAGTTTAATTAAATGTACACGTCGAATATAAATTTTTTTTTTTTTTTTATAAAAATTAATTGCATAAATTAATAAAAATTGATATTGTAGTAGATAATTCCTAAACATTACAACTAATTTATCTTAATAGCTTTTAAGAAATATTAGACAGGAAGCAGATTAGTTAAGTGGTTATTGCTTAGATTATCATCTCGAACATCCATGCATCTTATAGGAGAAAACTATATTGCTTTCAACCCATCTTGTATTTCTTCTACCACTTTTAGCCAGTTTCTAGTAGAAAACAAATTTATCGTACCACAAATCTAACCATCAGTGGTGAAATGTTTTAAAAATATGCGCATAATTGATAGCTGATTACAAGTGATAACGAATATAATTTATATATAAATTTAGTTTTTTCCTTAATTCTTGTTTTTAAAGTTTTACCATAAATT